GGAGGACTGGGCCGGCCATGGTATGTGGAAAGCTTAGCTTCCTCCATCACCTGGGGAAACCCTACCCTCCTCTCTTTCCAGCTCCGTGGCTGCCACCATTTCTGTTTGGATTTATGTATCTTCTATCATTGAAGATACATAAACTTTGCGTGGTGGCCTAGGCTGGCAAGAGCAGGCGGAATGCTTGGCTTCCTCCATTGCCAGGGAAACCCAAGCCTCCCTCCTGCTCTCTGTGGCTGTAGCCATCTTGGTTGGGTTTATTTGTATATTCGCTCAATTGTTTGGTGGATTTGGCTGGTGGGTGTAGTGGAGTGATGATTAATTTGCATATTACTCTTTTATTAGATAGGACATAGTTAGGTAATGTGGTGAGACAAATTGATTTCTTAAATATTAAGCAAACTGCATTTCTTAAATTCTCTCTATATATATTAGCATTTTTTAATCTATATTCTTAAGGAAGGTTGGCCTAGAATTTTCCTTTTGCTAATGTACTTGTCAGGTTTTGATATCAAGTTTCTACTGGCTTTATAAAACCAAGTTAAGACACATTTCTTCTTTTATTGTCTGGAAGAATTTGTGTACAGTTGACTTGTGACTGTTTTGGCCTACTCTGGTTTCTGGTTGGTGAAGTACTTGGAGGAGAGTTTGTGAAGGAGAATACATTCTGCCTGAGATTTAAAAATCATGTAAAAGTGGGAAATAACTTTGTTCTTTCTCAGAAACTAGAGATCTATTTCAGAGGTGGTTTTAGGATTATATGATAATAAAGTATTTTTTTAATTATATAAACAATAACTTCATTATAAAATACAATTTTTAGACTATAGAGAAATGTATAAAGTAGAAAGTGGAAATCCAACTGTCCCAAATACCATTTTGGTGAGTGTATATTTCTTCTGTTTTTATTTTATTTGTTTGCTTAATTAAAAATGGGATTACAGCCAAAACTGGTTTGGCTCAATGGATAGAGCATCGGCCTACAGACTGAAAGGTCCCGGGTTTGATTCCGGTCAAGGGCATGTACTTGGTTGCAGGCACATCCCCAGTAGGGGATGTGCAAGAGGCAGCTGATCGATGATTCTCTCTCATCGATGTTTCTAACTCTCTATCCCTATCTCTTCCTCTCTGTAAAAAGTCAATAAAATATATTAAAAACAAAACAAAATAAAAATGGGATTACACACCCTAGCCAGTTTGGCTTAATGGACAGAGCACTGGCCTGCAGACTATGGGATCCTGAGTTCAATTCCAGTTAAGGGCACATACATACCTGGGTTGCGGGCTTGAACCCAGTGGGAAGCGTGCAGAAGGCAGCCAATCAATGAGTCTCATCATTGATGTTTCTCTCTCTCCCTCTTCCTTCCTCTCTGAAATAAAAATATATTTTTTTAAAATGAGATTACACTATCTGTACTTATTGTTCTATAATATTTTTACTCGATATATCTTACCAAATTGTTTGTCAGAAATGTACATCCAAGATTATTCCTTCACCAAAAGTAAAATATTTCCCAACCTGGTAAACACATTATCCTATATAATAAAATCCAAATATACAAATTTCCCCCTCGACCAGGAGTTTGACCGCTTGCTGTGACATGCACTGAGCTCCGGGGGTAGTGCTGAACATGGTGGGTGTCGGCAATGCGCTGTGACTTCACGCCAGCTACCTGTGGGGCGGGGGTGGCGGGGACGGAGGCCCAGTGAGAATGTGAGTTATCCACTGAGCTCACTCTGACCCCCCTGCTACCCTCCCCTGGGACACCATTGGTCACGTGCCAGGGAAGCCCCTTGTGCTCAGGTGCCAGGCACCCACTGGGAGCCTGGCCTGTACCCGCACAGACTCTTCCGGGTGAGCCAGGCCGCAGCTGCTTGGACCACAGGGACTGATCGGGCTCCCTGTGGGTTCACACAGGAGTCAGTCTTCAAGGCCGGCCAGGAGAGAGCATGCTGCCTGCCAAGCTTCTATGCAGTGCCACTGGTGGCCCAGAGGCCCATGCTGCACCCCGGCCTATGGCATCTGGCCGCGCTCACTGCATCTCCACATGCAGCCTCAGGTGCTGTGACTTGGGCGGAGGGGCCGTGTGGAGTCCCACAGGCCCAGGTGCTTCCCAGGACCCAGAGATCAGCTGGGACCTGCCCTTCCACACCAGATGCTTGCGCTTCCATCACTGGCAAGGCCTAAGGATTTTGTGTCCCAGGCCTCTAATTTTTAATATAACGATGTTAAGTTTATTAAACACCTAATAAAAGAGTAACATGCTAATTGACCATATCTTCAAGACACACACCAGCCAATCAGGAATATGCAAATTAACCCAACAACAATGGCAGTTAATTTGCATACACAGGTGCCAAGCAGCGTACCACACCACCCCGGCTGCTCTGGGCCTCTGCACAGCAGAAAGGCACCTGCAGGCCTGAGTGGAAAGGTGGCTCCAGCCAGCAAAGGCCATGTTGGCAGCCAGGGGGAGAAAGGCCCATTCTTGCATGAATCTTCGTGCATCGGGCCTCTAGTCCCTATATACTCATTACCAGCTGCCCAGAGTGGCTGATTCAGTGAAGTATGGGGGAGGGGGGGTTAATGGACTTAGGGCTTTAATGTATTTGTATAGGAACAGAAACTCAACCTGAGCTCTTTATAGTGTTTCCTTTGGGCACCTCATGATACTGTAGTCATGTACTTATGCCATATTCTATATGCAGACATTTGTTTTGATGAGTATTCTTGTTCATTTATACAACAAGTCTCTTTTTGAGCACCTATAATATGTCAGGCACTGTTCTCGCTGCTGGGGATATAGGAATGGACAAAACAAAGACCCAATTCTTAGTGGATCAAATCTGAATTGAAGACATGAACTCAAATTTAAGTCTGACTCAAAAAAGGCTATGATCCATCAATGATAACATAAAATGTGGGATTACTCACAAATGGCAGGAACTTCCTTACAAAGATCTCTTTATTACATGCTTTCTTTTTGAACTATAATTGTGATGGAATATTTAAAATTTTATTAATTTTACTTTCAAAAGTAATATGTTAAAATTTATATCCTAGAACTCCTAAATTTGAAAATTAAAAAAAAACACGTAATTTTAAATATAGCAAGTTAAAAACTGGTATTAGAATAATGCTAAACTCACTATTAAGTAGTTCCTTTTTCATAATTTTATAATTTAAGAAATTGCTATCATGATATAATATTTATCTATTTCTAGATAACAAATTGCTCTCCAAACTTAGCAGCTAAAACAAGAGGCACTTTTTTATCTCACACACTTTCTGTGGGCCAAGAATCCAGGAGCAGCTTAGCAGGGTGATTCTGGCTTAGGGTTTCTTATGAAGGAAGATTAATTTCCAAGATGTCTCACCCACCAGGCTGTGGGTGGAAGGCCTCAGTTCCTCACCTGTAGGCCTCTCTGTATGCTACTTCAGCACTTCAAGAAGGCAGCTAGCTTCCCCCAGAGCAAGTGATCCAGGAGAGAATAAGGCAGAAGCCATAGTGTCTTTTATGACCTAGTCTCAGAAGCCACACACCACCGCTTCTGCAGTATCCTAGTGGTTGCACAGGTAAGCCCTATTCACTGTGGGAGGGAAATACATGAGGTTATGAATACCAGCAGGTGAGGATCACTAGTGCAATCTCGGACGCTGCTTCCTTCTATGGGAAGTGACCTGGCATATGGAAGAGTTCATGGTATATGGGCTCAATCTGAGTTCAAATGCAGACTTGACCTCTTAAATAATCTCCCAAAGATTAAGAGCTGTTGAACTTGTAGTAATATGAAATGAGCAAAGCAATTTTATATTCCTAGGATTTTTGATAAACTGAAATAAGATAGTCAACATAGGACTTCACATGTGTTTAGAATTCAATAAATAGCATCTATTTATTATTTTAAATTTAACTTAAGGCCAGCCTTCATAAATATGCTTGACAAAGTAAATAAACCGTCATATATAATAAAAGGCCAGGGACCATAAGCATAATGTCTGGAACCATCACTTGACCAGTTGCCATGAGATGTACTGACCACCTCTCATTACCTCCCCTCCCCCACCACCCCACACCCTACACCTTCCACCCGCAGGCCAACAGGGAACCATGGGGAAGTGGATGGGTAGTGGCGGGGTGAAACTGGGACTAGTGAGCAGGCAGAACAGCTGATCTTTTAATCCCTCCCCCTGGCCCACAGGCTCCGATGGATCAGCAATGGTGAAGGGGGGTGGGGGACGGGTGGGTGGCAGGAGGACTGGACTGGCTGGACTGGCAATCAGGCTATTGGGATCCCCAGCTCATCCTCGGCTGGTTGGGGGCTCAGGCCTGCAGGAAAGCAGGCACTGGAGATTTCACCTTCATTTGTGCATAGCTGCTCGGGGGCTCAAGCTGGCGAGAAAGTGGGCGCTTGCGACTTCACCTCCATGCGCGTGGGCCAGACCGGCCGCTTATGGAACATGCTGCCCACTGGGGGCCGCTCACGTGGACGCCAGTGCAATGGCACTGCTGCTGCTGGGGCTTGTGGTGCTGTCGGAAGCTGCGGGGCAGCCTACCTGCCCCAGTGGCGGAGGCAGCGTTTGACCTGAGGATGGCAAACGGGCAGAAGATGGCCCTGATTGCAGGCTAGGCTTAGGGACCCTACCAGCATAATTTCATGCGCTGGGCCTCTAGTTTACTAAATTAAGCTAATCCTGTATATTAATTTTTAAAGAGGCCAAAGAATTTTACTGAATTGCTGCTATATACAGTACTTAAATCACCTACATCAATGTAATTGCTGAGTTCTAGTTGTTTAAAGTGCACACACATACACAACTTGTGTCTTCTACTTGAAGGTAGCTGGAACGTCCTGGTCACTATATTTGTTTCAAGCAGGAACATGTACCTGTCATAGACATGCCACAGCTGCAGCACTGCCTTTTCACCTTAACAGGTGAACTATAGAGAATCCACCTCATCTAGACAGTAACTGCTGTCTCTTTCTTCTTCTAATAGATGGAGGTTTACTGCTCAGACTTTCATGCTGAAAGAGCAGCAAGAGAGAAGATGCATGAAGAAAAGGAGCAACTGGCATTGCAGCTGGCAATTTTGCTCAAAGACAGTAGTGATGTTTTTGAAGATGGAGGCAGGTAAGGTGAGGGGAAGAGTTAGAGCACATTTCAACATGGGACTTGTTAAAGATGGTCCCTAATTTGAGCTGTAAGAATCTCTGGCTACACTTCATTTGGGCTCCTGTGCTTAGTTTGACTTACAAGACGTGGCAGTGTTTTGTGGAAACCTGTTCAAGTTTTTTGCTTTTAGCTGTAAAAACTTGACATTGTGTTTCAAAGTCATATCTTGCCATTGTTATAGATGAACTAGTCCTAACATTTAAAATAATTCTGTAATTTTTAAAATATATATTTTATTGATTTTTTACAGAAAGGAAGGGAGAGGAATAGAGAGTCAGAAACATTGATGAAAGAGAAACATTGATCAGCTGTCTCCTGCACATCTGTTAACTGGGGATGTGCCTGCAACCAAGGTACATGCCCTTAACTATTAATAGAACCCTTCAGTCTGCAGGCAGACACTCAAGCCACTGAGCCAAACTGGTTAGGGCCTGTAATATACTGCTAAAATTACTTCTGTCCTTAAATTTTCATTTTGAGAAAAATTTGAAATATATATTAATAGAAAAATGAAAATACAGAGATCAAAATACAGACCAATATGAATCCCATCCAGAATTGACAGTTATTCATATTTCTTATTTGTTTCAAGTATATTTTTATTAAAAGAAAAAAAGTAGCCCTAACTGGTTTGGCTCAGTGGATAGAGTGTCAGCCTGCAGACTGAAAGGTCCCAGGTTCAACTACAGTCAAGGGCATGTACCTTGGTTGTGGGCACATCCCCAGTAGCAGGTGTGGAGGGGGCAGCTGTTCAATGTTCCTAACTCTCTATCCCTCTCCCTTCCTCTCTGTAAAAATCAATAAAATATATTTTTTAAAAGAAAAAAGTATATTTTTATTGCAGATGAGATTGAAGTCTTGTTGTTTCCCAGCCTGCATTGTATTTCTCTCCCTTTCCCCATACTGCCTGGAATTTTGTGGGTAGCATCCCCAACTGTTTTATATTTTTATATATATAGACATCTATACATCTTAAAAATAATACTAATTTCTCTATGCTTAAGCTACAAAATGATCACTATAAATAGTTTTGCAACTTGCTTTACATAACATTGTGATTTTTTGGATTCATGTATATGTGCAGATTTAATTAATTCTCTTTAATTGCCACTTTTTTCTAATACATTCCCTTACAATTAAGAACTTGGTTATTTCCTAATTGATTTTTTTTAAATCTTAATTGTTATTTATTTTTACTACATCATGTCCTCGTACCAACAATATCTACAACTCAAGTTAGTCTTAAGTTCTGGTTTCTATGCACCTTGGCATTGTATACAGTTCAGCTCTTTTTTTTCTCATACTTCTACTGAATGTGTTCTTAATGTTGTCATGTTTCAGGATTTTAGAACATCACATAGAGTATTGCTTTTAATCCCAGTAGGCAGTCCTTGATGGAAATGCAGAGCCGTCATGGAGCCAGAACCAGTGACCCTGACCAACAGGACTACCTCGTTCAAAGAGGTGAGTCATGTGTGATTCTAAGCTTTCAGGAATCCAAGGAATAACTATCCTTAAAGAAGATACTTGAAAAAAAAGTTCCTCTTCATCATATATAATGGATTTCAAATCAAGCTACCAAAAATATAGTACACATCAGCCTATTTCCATAGTACTCTGCTCTCTACCCATTACCTATTGAATCCAGACCAGACTCTTCATGCCTGTAGTTAAGGCCTAGCATAGCCAAACTTTTAAGCCTTCTCTCACTGCATTCCCCTACAGCCATGGCCAGCAAACTGCAGATCGAGAGCCACATGCAGCTCTTTGGCCCCTTGAGTGTCACTCTTCCACAAAATACCACTGCCTGGGCGAGTCTATTTTGAAGAATTGGCGTTAGAAGAAGTTTAATTTTAAAAAATTTGGCTCTCAAAAGAAATTTCAGTCGTCGTACTGTTGGTATTTGGCTCTGTTGACTAATGAGTTTGCCGACCACTGCCCTACAGCAATTAGCCAACTAAATCATTCCTTATTCCTTGACTTGCCATAAACTTGTATACCTACATATACTTGTTTATGGAGTGTCCTTCATGTAGATGCTCTCTCCTCATATCCTTGTATTCCTCCAGACTCTCCAGTGAACTCTTATCCCAGCTTAAAAAACATTTCAACTGTCAGCTTTATGATACCAACAGAAAGTGACCTCTCCCTCCTGAATTTCCAAAGTACTTTATTCCTGTTTTAGGACTTACCTGTTATCTATAATAATCCTACCTAATAAAAGAGTAATATGGAAATTAACCATCACTCTGCTCAAGTCACGCCCACCAGCCAATCAGAGAGAGTATGTAAATTAACCCCAACCAAGATGGCTGCAGCCACAGAGAGCAGTTGAGAGAGGCTTGGGTTTCTCTGGCATAGAAGCCAAGCTTTCTATACACCCTGGCCGGCCTAGGCCTCCACTCAAGGCTACAATGTTTCAATTATAGAAGATACATGAACCCCAATAGAAATGGCTAAAGGCCACAGAGCAAGCTGGGGGCTTGGCTCTGCTCCAGGCTACAAAGTTTCAATTGTAGAAGGTAAATAAATTCCAGATACCAGGGCCTTCGCTTGGGTCACCAGCCTGCAAACCACAACAGGCCCCTCGCCCAGTCCACCCCACGCCCCAAGAGAACCCCCACCCTGATCCAGGACACCCTGATCCAGGACACCCTGATCCAGGACACCCTTCAGGGCAAACCAGCCAGTCCCCTCCCTCCCCCACCCTCCCCCGCACACACACCAGATCTCTATCCTATCTGATAAGAGAGTAATATGCAGATTGACCATCATTCCAATACACATGCTGACAGCCCCCATGTGGTCAAAGATCCTGCCCCCATGTGGACACTAGATGGCCACCACAAGATGGCCAGCAGGGGAGGGCAGTTGAGAAGGACCAGGTCTGCAAGGGAGTTCTCTCAGAACTTATATCTTCACCCACCACCTATTACCATTTATTGAGAGTTTTCTGAGTAGTCCCTGTGCTGATCTTTTCATTCATATACATTATTTCATGTAACCCTCACAAATTTCTATAAGATATAGATCATCACTACCGTACAGAAGGCAAGGTTAAATTATTCAGGATCACAAGGTGAATTAGGGGTAGAACTGGACCATCGAACCAAAGGATATGTGAGCCTCATAGAATCCAAGGTTATCTGTCTCATAACCCTACATGGTACTGCATGAAATATTTTCATTAATTATATACTACATCCAGATTTTAATTTCCTGAATGAAATTGATCATGGAACTTATTAAAAGAGGCTATGTTTATTATATGGTTTTAATACACTAGTAAAAGTAACACTCAAAGGATCAAAGACTGCTGAAATTGGTTTGGCTCAGTGGATAAAGCGTTGGCCTGTGGACTGAACAGTCCCAGGTTCGATTCCGGTCAAGGGCATGTACCGTGGTTGCGGGCGTATCCCCAGTGGGGGGTGTGCAGGAGGTGACTGTCGATGTTTCTTTCTCATCAGTGTTTCTAGCTCTCTATTCCTCTCTGTAAAAAAATCAATAAAATATATATTTTAAAAAAAACAAAGGATCAAAGACTGACATGACAAGAAGAAAAGTTAATATAATGCCAGTAAGAACACTCTGGGTTTATGATGTCATCATAAATTTCACATAAAACTGTGAAATTTCTTTAAATTCTTTCTTAACGCTGGAAAAGTCTGTTCCTTTCACTATTGAAATGGAACTAGATCACAATGTTATCAGCAGAAAGGAAATAATATTAGTATGTATAGTTAAATGTTAAATCTTGGGGAAAGGTCTCTGAGTACCCCTTTTACCTTCCATCTCCTCCTAGTCCCCCTACCACCACCACCAAAATTCTTTTACAAGAAAAAATAAAATAGGTTAATGGGGCAGAGGTAACATCAGGTGAACTGGCATAAATAATAGCCTCAGGCATTTTTAGCATCAGTGTGTAAAGTTATGTTCTTCTCTGAAAGCTGCATCTACCCACTTGAGCACTGCTATGCATTTTCTCTAAACTAATTTTAAATATCCTAGGCACATCAATATACCTCATGTCCAGAAGTATCTACACACTTGTTTTGAGTCAAAAAGGGTGATCTCTTACTCCTGGATTTTTAAGGGATGATTTCCATTCATCATAACTATATAAGACAAATGCTTATTTACATTAAAAAGAAAAATAATTGAAACAAGAATTGGTCACTCTTTGGTTTACATGTATAATCTAAAAATCATCACAAAGTATAAATATATTCCTAATAAACTTTCTTTTATAAAAAACAATATTCCATGCCGAAACCGGTTTGGCTCAGTGGTGGAGGTCAGTCTGCGGACTGGAAGGTCCCAGGTTCAATTCCGGTCAAGGGCATGTACATTGGTTGCAGGCACATCCCCGGTAAGGGGTGTGCAAGAGGCAGCTGGTCGATGTTTCTCTCTCTTCGACGTTTCTAGCTCTCTATCTCTCTCCCTTCCTCTCTGTAAAAAATCAATAAAATATTTTTTTTAAACAATATTCAAGAGATAAGATATCTTAGGATTTTTTTTTTTTCATTTTCTAACAAAGCTGCCTTAAATGAAGCCCTGCTCAGTATATTTCAGCAGCAGCAGCAGCCATTTAAGTGTCTATTCTGGTCTAGGTCATTGTCTGAGCACAAGGAAACAAATAGGCAGTAAGTCATTGTCTTGAGGGCTCATGGTCTAGTTGGATAGACAGGATGTGCACATAGAAAGATGAATGCATAATACAAGATAATACTTTAGTAATAGAAATAATACTGCTAAAGATAAGAAGAAAGGATGATCATTTAGGGCTGGACAAGTTGAGATAGGCTTTGAAAGATGTGACTATAAGCTTGACCTTTAAGCTAGGATTTAGATAAGTTCAATATGAGAATGAAAGGGCAAAGGCTGAAATGAGTGTAATGTGTGAATAATGAAAACTGACTAAGCTTATTTTACAGTGAAGAGCCAGGAGGTAGAGGGAACCCATAATCCCAAGTCTGAGTCTTTAAACATAGGCCAGTCAAAAAAAAAAAAAAAAAAAAAAAAAGGCACACTTCAATGCAATAGAGCTTTAAATGAAAAGTCAACAGTCCCTGAGATTGGCTAGTTGCTCTCTAGAGCAGGGTTTGACAAACTGCAGTACACAGGCCAAATCTGCCCTGTTTTAATAAATAAAGTTTTATTGGAACATAGTCATGCATTTTTGTTGACTTACTGTCTATGGCAACAGAGTTGAGTAACTGTGACAGAAATTATATCATATGCAAAGTCTAAAATATAGGGTGGAACAAAAGTAGGTTTATAGTTATATGAGAAATAATTTATTCTTGTATTATTATTTCTTAATTATTGTATTATTTTCCATTTGAACAGGTATAAACCTACTTTTGCCCCACCCTGTATTTATTCTCTGGCCCTTTAGATAAAAAGTTTACTGATTCCCTAATGTAGAACAATGATACCATCAGAAAGCTTCCTGTTACAGGGACAACAATGTGGGGATTGCCAGAGTGGGGTGTAGAAGTGGCAGTGGAAGTGTTTTGCGGGTGAGAGGGCTGCTGGACACACCATATAGTGTACAGATGGTGTGTTGTGGAATTGTGCACCTGAAACCTATATGATTTTGTTGACCAGTGTCATCCAATAAATTCAATAAAAGGAGGAGAAATCTTCCTGCTTTAGAAATCATGTCTTATGATCGATATTTCTATTCAAGTGTAATTCTAAAGTTTGCTAAACACAAACTACATATAATAATTGTCTCACATGTTATTCAATTCAAATATGCTCAGAAGCAAAAAGCCATGTTAAAGGTTACCTCCACTGTTATCCTCCAAAAAAAACAAATACTTGAGGAATTGAATGAATTCTGGAGATCTGTGTGGAGATGCTACAAAACCAAAATAGTTTGCATTTGTCCAGAAAGGTCAGATGAAGGAGATGCTCTGGGAGCCAGAAATCATTTCTAACACTAATCACAGTTTACTCATGTGGGACCTACCGAGAGTGAATGCTGATTTTAAGCATTCTTTGATTTAGGCTCAAATCTCAAACCCATTCCAAAATTGGGGGAAATAATTCTTCAATTCTTTCTCCTCACTTACTTTACCTGGATAACCCTGTTTCATTCTTAGGCCTCCTCTCAAGTATTACAGAATCAGCCTCATTGAGGTGGCCTATGTGCAGAGCATTCTGAGCCAGGTGCCTTCGTCTTCCCACTAAACCACCTTGTGCATGACACAGCCATGGCACTCCCCTCCCATGCCACGCTGTCACTTTTCTTGTCTCACACCCCCATTATATCTGTATCCTTCTCTTCCATATCACACGGTACTCAAAAGTATCTGCTGGATGAACACAATTATTGTCTTTGCTTCTAAGAAGATACATACTGTTCTAGGATGCCACCTCTCCATGCTCTCATCATTTTCTCCACATCTCTCCTCTTCAGCTTATATCCTCATCTATCTCTTTCTTCTCTCAAACATTCCAGTTTTTACTACAGCACCTATTTCCTGGTATCTAGAAATAAAACCATGTATTTTCATGTACCTAAAACCCAGAATAAACCCTAAATCTTAAAATAATAGAAAGCAGGTTTTGGAGATTTTGTGTGTGTGTGTGTGTGTGTGTGTGTGTGTGTGTGTGTGTGTAGATTACTTCAGTAAAACACAAAAATGACCTGGATTCACTTCCTACTAGGTACAGATTATAATGTTTAACTGATGTTAAAATTAAACATCTGTTATTAAAATCCACCAAATAAGACTGCTTGTAACATGGAAGGAATGGAATAATATTTCACTTAATGTTTATTCTCAGGAGCTGATGATCGGAACTGGCAGCAACAGCAGCAGCAAAATATACCAATTCATTCTTGCCCCAAATGTGGAGAAGTCCTGCCTGACATAGATACATTGCAAATTCATGTCATGGACTGCATCATCTAAGTGTTGACATTTCACCTCCCCCCAAACTGCTGGTAAACGTCAGATTTCTTTCCTCCAAGAGCTCTACTTTTGTGTTATTTGTTTTCTCTCAAATATTTTGGCTCATTATGTTTGTTTTAGGAGAAAGAAAATCAGTATGTTCCATATAGGACATTTTTTGGTGAGGATTTCCACAAAATCTCAAGATAAAATTCTTAACATACCATTCTTCTGATAATAGAGTCATTTCTTTAAATGTTCAGTTTAGGTGAGCACTGAACTATTTGTTCATCTAGTTAATGAGGGTATGACATCATGGGACATAGTTAAATGTAATTATATGGGAGAAGTATTACTGATAAACTTTAAGTACCTTTTAAATAGGCAGGAAAAAGAAGTGGTCACAGATTTCTTCAAGAAAAATATCTCTGAAGTATTTGTGAAATAAATTATTACATTTCTTCATCCATTTAAGACAAACCAATTTGGGTTGTGTATATATGTGTATGTTGTAGTTTTATTGCAGCCACAGTTGTACCAAAGTTATAATGTGGCTTTTTTCATATAAGCACTGTGAGCTTTTATTTGGTCATCAGGATAAAAGGAAATTTTTTGGCCTAGATGAAGTGAATACTTTAGGTTCACTGGATTTGATATAATCACAGTGCAAGGAAGTCATCTTTATCCTTTCACTGTGCTACAGGTATATGGACTTGTACAGTAGAAAGTTTATTCATTTCTAAAAAGAACCACTATTTCTTCATTCTCGATTAGGCTATATAATCACAATCACAAAAAAGTTATTGCAAAATAAAATATTGCTTATGCATCTTTCACATTGTTCGAATGTGATTAGCTAATTTCATAGGAAGCATTTTCTAGATACAGCTTCATATAAGCTTATTGCTTGATTCAGATCTGTTTTTGCTAATTCTATAAATATAAGCAAATCCCTTTACTAGAGACCAGTATGTGTTGTATGAATTAGAAAGTGTTCTAGCTAAGGAGGTGAAAATATAGGGATGTGCCATATTTTGTGAACCTACAGTTATTAACTAATACTGGGCCTGCCATAAAAATAAACAATACCTATGTATCTAGAGCCTATAACATTTAAGAGAAAATTAAAATATATCCTCTGTTTGACTTTGTCATAAGAATCTCTCCTAGACAAACTTGATTTAATCCACATAAATACACACACATATGGAATTAATCAGGAAATCAAAGAGAAATCAAAATAGTTCATTATGTCTTCATGCCAAAAGAGCACACTGTACAAATTCAATAGCAATTTAGATTAAAAGATTTTCCCACTTCATCCCAGGGAGAATGATTGTTTCAAAACATTTCTAAAATTAACTATGAAAATTTTACTTTTAATTTCTTGCTTAAAGCTTCTAGTTTAATTTTTCCCCTACTATTCTATACTGCAGAAAATAGATTTCTATATTATTTTAAATAGAAAAGCAAACCAAATGGTTTTACATTTAAGTTTTGGGGGATATTCTTTTACTTTGTTCAAATAAAATATTAAGTTGGTCACAACTCATACCTAGAAATCCTCTAAACACCTGGAGGTTCAATAACACACCTGTATATAGAACACGGGTTGAGGAAGTCTCAAAAGAAAATTAGACAAATAAAATTAAAATATTTGAGGAATGAAATATTAAAATATTTGAGGAATGAAGCAAAGGCACTACTTAGCAGGAAACTATAGCATCGAATGCCTATATAGAAAAGAAGAAAGATCTAAAATCAATAATCTAAGCTTCCACTTTAAGTAACTAGAAAAAGAATGGTAAATTAAACTCACGTAAAGGGAGACTCAGTATTGAGATGTCAATTCTTCCCACCCTGATCTATAGATTCCACATGATCCCAATCAAAATCTCAATGAGTTATTTTGTAGATATCAACAAGCTGATTATAAAATTTATACAGAGGCAAAAGACTCAGAATGGCCAACACAGTATTGCAGGAGAATAAAATTGAAGGACACTATCAGAGTTCAAGAAATAGTATAAAGCTATAATAATCAAGATAGCATGATATTGGTGAAAGAATAGACAAATATATCAAAGGAACAGAATAGCAAGCCCAGGAATAGATGCAGAGAGTTCACTATTTTTTAACAAAGGAGAAAAAGCAAATTTATGGAGAAAGGATAGTATTTTTAACAAATGGTGCTGGCACAACTGTGTGCAAAAGAAAAAAAAATGAATCTATACAGACCTTACACCTTCTACAAAAACTAACTTAAGCCGCAGACTGGGAATAGATCTTTATAAAACAGATATGTGATGAAGGACTATTTTCAAAATATACAAAGAACTCTCAAGACTCTTAAGTAATAAAACAACCCAATTTTTTAAATGGGGGGGGGGTAAGGGGGGGAAGCAGTTACCTCACCAAAGAAAATATACAGAAGGCTAATAAGCATATAAAAAGATGCTCAATATTATATGTTATTAGGGAATTGCAATTTAAAACAAGATACTATCACACACTTATTAAATGGCTAAAATACAAACAATAACACCAAGTGCTGGCAAGGATATGGAACAACAGGAACTCATTTATTGTTGGTGGAAATGCAAAATAGTACTTCGGAAGACAGTTTGGCATTTTCTTGGGAAACCAGGCATGCAATCCTTGGCATTTACCTAAATGAACTGAAAAGTTATTTCCACACAAAACTTGCACATTAATGTTTATAATAGCTTTTCTCATAATTGCCAATACTTGAAAGCAACCAAGATGCCTTTCAGTAGGTAAAAGGATAAACAAACTGTGGTACATACAGAAAATGGAATATTATTCAGTGCTAAAAAGAAATGAGCTTTGAAACCATGAAAAGACATAGATTAAGGAGGAACCTTAAATGCATATTGCTAAGTGAAAGAAGCCAATCTGAAGAGGTTACATACTGTATGATTCCAACAATATAACATTCTTGAAAAGGCTAAACTATAGAGATAGTAAAAAGTTGGGGGTTGGGAAGAAGGGGTGAATAGGTAAGAGCACAAAGGAGTTTTAGGGCAGTTAAACTATTCTGCATGAATGTATAACATAAAGAGTGGCCCTAATGTAAACTATGAATTTAGGTTAATAATGATGTATCAATATTGTAATAATGTATAATTATAATAAATGTCCCATACTAATACAAGATGTTAATAATGGAAATTATGTGTTGAAGGGACGATATGAGAACTCTCTATTCTTTCCACTCAATTTTTCTGTAATCCTATAATTGTACTAAAAAAAAATAAAGCATTATTTTCTAAAAAAAAAAAAATGAGAAAAATAACTTTGAACTGATTATTTAATATGAACACAGATAAAATATATTGTATGCATCATAAAATCTTGTGAAGACTGGCTAACACTTCCATCTGACCTATAATAAAAGGGCTAACTTGGAATTGCCTTTAATGAAATGTCAAATTTATTTTGCCATCATCAGAAATCAAGATATGAACTGATATTCAAATATTTTAATGGAGCAACAAAAGGTACCCTAACTACTTTGCTACGAAAGGCAAATAAAATGTAGAAATAATTTAACACTCTTTGGCATCCTTTGACTTACATAATATGTCATTTAAAAATTATTGAAATTACATACTCTTGCTATGAAAATTTGGTCATTGCTGAGTAATTTGTTACTTTTTTCTAGCTAAATAATTGCAAAGATATAAAGTATAATACAAAATATTAATTAAGAAGCTCTCAATGAACTGAGATTTATGTAGCAATTTTGTTCTTTAAATATATGGAGCTATAATCTTGTATACGTATTTCACATATGTAAAATATATATTGTAGTTATTAATCCAGCACAACCAAGATGAGTTGAACATTCTAATGAGCTCATTGAAACAAGTAAGGATAGTGTTTTTTATTGGCTTCCCTTTGTAAAATATCATACACTGCTGTTTAAAGTAACCTCTAGATTGGCTGAAAATCAGTAGACATTTATTTGAGTAGCAAAGACAATATTTTATTATGAATATTAAGTAGCTTGGGTTTTCCCCTTTCTTAGTAGGGCCATTCATCTCTAAGTAGATAGAGTGTTGTCTCTGATCAAGGGTAACATTTTTCTCAGTACAGGGTCTTTGTCCAGTGTGTTGGACAAATTCAAGTTTGGGATGAGGTTCTAGAGAGTTCTGCACCATACAGCTTGGCAGAAGTGAAGGCAAATGTAAACTGATTTCTACAGGGAGGTAGGAAGGTGGAGCCGTGAAAAGTGGATATTTCTCCCAATAGAAGGTCTGATTTTCTGATTTTGAAAAGCATTGCCTTCTACTGGGCCTAAGAGTGGAAGAATTGATTTAAGAATCTGGTACATTAACCCAGTAAACATTCTCAGATATTCTGCTTTAGAGAACTCTACTTTAGATAACTTAATTGTATTCACTAAACCATCCCAAACCCTATACTTGAAGCCCTATGTCCCTCTGGCTTCAATCACAAATCTAAAGGCACTTGCTGAAATCTCCAGAACATCTCCACCACCTAAATTTATCATCTTTTCTCCTGTCCAAAACAAGGGGAAAAGATAAATTCCTTTAGACTTCTAGTCCATTTCTATAACTCTGCCAGTTTCTCCTGGGTATTGCCAACATGGCCACTGTCCTCTCCTTTTCCTGCCAAAAGTAACTTCCCTTTGGCAGTTACTAAAGCAGACAGGTTTTCCTTCATAACGTTTCCTATTTGTCCCTTCATAACATTTATATTTGTCTTATAGTCTGGAACTAGGGCGATTTTCTAATGTGCTTCTCTGCCTTCAGCTTCTGGTTCATCCAGTTCCTGAGTACCTGTCTGTTGGCTCAATCTACCTTAGCAAAGCCTATAAAGTACTAATGCCCTAGCCAGTGTTGCAAAGTGAATGATGCTTGGTCCCAGGCACTGCAGGTTTGATTCCTGGTCAAGGGCACTGTAACTGCGGGCAGGTCCCATCCCTGCCCCAGTTGGGATACCTGGGATGCCTGTGGGAGGCAACCAATCAAAGTCTCTCTCACATGGATCCCAATCAATCTCTATCTCTCTCTATCTCTCTCTCTCTCTCTCTCTCTCTCTCTCTCTCTCTCTCTCTCTCTCTCTGTTTCCCCCCCTCCGTGTCTCCCTCCCTTCTCCTATCCTTCCACTCTCTAAAAAGCAATGGAAAAATATATCCTCAGGTGAGGATTAACAAGAAAACAAAGAAAGTATAATAATACTGTAATACTGTATGTGTATTTTCAAAATTTTCTCAATCCTCACAATGCCCTATAAAATATCTATTACTAATGCACTTCGCTGATGATTAAGTTGAGGCTCTGAGAGGTTCATTTACCCAAGGTTGCAGTTAGTATGTGGCAGTTAAAAATCTTAGTCTTAATTGACTAGAGTCTAAGCAGGTAGCCACCCCTTTTCCCTACACATCTAACTGCTCCTCCCCCTGCTCAAACACGGCCTTTTTATAAAAATAAATTTAAAAATTCTTGACCTGGAGTTTATCATCCACATTATTCGTTTTACCTACTTATTTTAATGTTTCTCGCTCGTCTCCTTTGTTGCCTCCTCTTCCGCAAGATTGGTACTCATTAGTCGCTTTATGTTAATTACCCATATATCATATCTACCAAATTAGAACGTAAATTCCTAGAATATGGATCACCGTCTTTGTCCAACACTTTTTATACCTGAAGCAATAGAAAGAGAAAATGAGGCTCAGCATTGGATGACACAAGCCCGGAGAGTGTTAGGAACTGAGTTCTGACCTCATGTAAAAATACCACCCGAAAATACTTAACACTTCAAGTCCTGGGCACCTTTAGGTAAACACTTTGTTTTACCTAAAGGTGCCCAGGACTTGACCGACCGGAAGTTCCTTGCCCCCAACAAAGAGGACTCAGGTCACGTGAACCAATCAGGCCGCTCTACGTACGGACCGTTTCCTCCCACCCCTTGGCCCCTCCTCCCCAGTCGTTTCCTCCAAGGGCTCTGACGCAGCCAATCAGCTCACCTCTTGCCGGCGTGCGTCTGACGTCAGAGACCGGGTGGAGCCGAGTTAGAATTTTGGCGGGCCCGGCTGTGGGAAGGGAAGGGAAGGGGTCCGGACCGGACCGGGTGAACAGCCCGGCCTGGGCGTGTGAGTGGCTCTCGGCGGCGAAAGAGACGTCCCGCCACGCGCGCCTGTGCTGGAGGTGAGAGCTCCGGGAGCGGGAGCGCGGAGCCCGCGGGCGCTCGGGTGTTGGCGGCGGCGGCGGCGGCCGCGGGAGGGCGCGACCGGGAGGTCCGGGGCCGAGCCTTTGCGGAGCACGTCTGAGGTGCCATTGACTTCAGTAAGGTGACCAGACGTGCCGCTTTTGGCGGGACAGTCCCGATTTTTAACAGTTTGTCTCTTGGCGTTTTAAAACAGTCCCTAATTGGGGAAAGAATCAAATCGGGACTGTTTTAAAACGCCGTGGGATAAATTGTTAAAAATCGGGACGCCTCGTCACCTTAGTTAAGGGACCAGTGTTTTCGTTCTTTCAAGTAACCTTTAAAACGCTTGCCATGTACATGTCGTTTGGACTTCTCTTATTTGTTCATTCTTAAAAGTCATAATAGTAAATGTTGAGTACGTACCATGTACGGAGCTCCAAACACTCATGACTCACGCCCCGTGACGCCTGCAGTCTAAAGAGGATAAAGCAAGCACACGGTAGAGCGGTGCAGTCAGGGGAAGGGGTGCTGAGAGGGTGGGAAGGCTTAGAAAAATGGGTAGTTGAGCTGCGGTTGAGAAGGAGCGAGGGGAGAACTTTATGTAGGGCCCAGGCCTGAGAGCACGCTTGTGTTCAAGAGGTGCAATGCAGGCAAGTCTTGCTGGCACAGGTTTGAGATGGGTAGTGTGGAGTGGAGTGGAGTGGACCCACAGAAAAGATGAGGAAGTAGTAGAGAATTCATTGCCTCACTGGCTTTGTAAAGAGCAATGGAAGGTTATTAAAGAACTACAGGCCCAGTGCACGAAATTCGTGCTCAGGGTGGGAAGAGGGTGTCCCTCAGCCCAGCCTGCACCCTCTCCAACTGGGACCCCTCGAGGGATGTTCAACTGCCCATTTAGACCCGATCCCAATGGAATCGGGTCTAAATGGGCAGTTAGACCTCCCTCTCACAATCCAGGACTACTGGCTCCCAACGGCTTGCCTGCCAGCCTTCCTGATTGCCCCTAACCACTTCTGCCTGCCAGCCTGATCACCTCCTAACCACTCCCATGCCAGCCTGATTGACGTCTAACTGCTCCCCTGCCAGCCTATTTGCCCGCAACTCCCCTCCTCTGCCAGCCTGGTCTCCCCTAACTGCCCTCCCCTGCAGGGTTGATCACCTCTAACTGCCCTTCCTTGCAGACCTGGTCCCTCTCAACTGCCCTCCCTTGCAGGCCTGGTGCCTCCCAATTGCCCTCCCCTGCTGGCCATCTTGTGGTGGCCATCTTATGACCACATGGGGGCAGCCAGCTTGTGTGTTGAAGTGATGGTCAATCTGCATTTTACTCTTTTATTAGATAGGATAGAGGCCTGGTGCATGGATGGGGGCCAGTTGATTTGTCCTGAAGGGTGTCCTGGATCAGGGTGAGGGTTCCCTTGGGTGTGGGGTGGCCTGGGCAAGGGGCCTGTGGTGGTTTGCAGGCTGGCCATGCCCCCTGGCAACCCAAGCAGAGGCCCTTGTATCTGGGGTTTATTTACCTTCTACAATTGAAACTTTGTAGCCTGGAGCAGAGCCAAGCCCCCTGCTCACTCTGTGGCTGCTGCCATTTCTGTTTGGATTTGTTTACCTTCTTTAATTGAAACTTTGTAGCCTTGAGTGGAGGCCTAGGCCTACCAGGGCTGCAGAAGCTTGGCTTCCTCTATTGCTGGGGAAACCCAAGCCTCTCTCCTGCTCTCTGTGGCCACAGCCATCTTGGTTGGGGTTAATTTGCATACTTGCTTTGATTGGTGGTGGGCATGGCTTGTGGGTGTAGCAGAGTGATTATTAGGTAGGCTTTTTATTAAAGGAATACCACTATTAGACTTAGGTTTCGAAAAGATTTATAAGGAAAGAAAAGGTTACTATTTCTATTGTATCAAAACTAGATTACAGAAGGCTAAAGAGACCAATTCAGGACACTAATGCAGTAATTGGGGCAAAAGATTGCTAATAGCTTGGACTAGGCTTTTGGCAGTAAAATTTGGGAGAAGGGGGAAATTTGAGCCATATTGTGGGGATAAGAACCATAACACTTGTCAGATGGTCCTAGATAGGAGGGTGAGGAAAAGGCTTGGGTTTGGGTGGAAAGGGATAGAAATAAAGAAGATAGTTTCCGCTTTCTAAACTCTCAAGGAGCATGCAATCCAGCAGATTCTCCAATAGGTAGCACAGTAATACTGTTTACACTTTGTTTCATCCATGTGATCTAGTATCACACTCCTCTGTACCTCACCTGAGTTTCTACAATCATAGTTTGCAAAAAAAAGACAAAAGGGGACTTCTTCCATACTAGGAGGAAGATGGTGTTGGCTGTAGTGGGGAGAAATGATCAGATTCCCGATGAATTCTAGGATTAGAGTCCCTAGGAATTGTAGGATTCTGAACTTTTTAGATGTGCAGTGTGTGCAAGAGAGAACCAAGGGTGACTTATCTAATGATGGTTTCACAGAGCCACGATTCTGCATTACTGTCATCTCCTGAGCACCTGGGCCGCCCTCAAAGTTCACTGTCACCACTGTTCCCTAGGCAATATGGAAGGTAAGTCCTGGCAGTTTTCTCAATTTTCTTTTGTTTTTAGAAAATTGTCCTTTGTGGATTTGTTATTTACCCTACTCACAAAATAATGAAAATAGCTGCCCACCTTCAAATGTTGTCTTGAGTGGATCACTTCAGTCACTGAATGTTACTTGTTTTAAATCAGACAGGATTTATTCTAGCATTACAGATTGATTGTCTTTCATAATACTGATAGCAGGCATGCACTTACAATGTGCCAAGTTCTGCTAAAGGATCCTTAATTATATTAACTAACATAATCTTCATAGCAACTGTGTTTTAGAAACAGAAAGACCAATGTCAGAGCAGGGATTTGAACCCAGGCAGTCTCAGAGTTCACATTTAATATTGAAGTCTCGAGCCCTAGCTGGGTCGCACTTGGTTAGAGTGTCAAATCTCATACACTAATATTACAGGTTTGATCCCTAGGCAGAGGCACATAGAAGAATCAACCAATGAATGCATAAGTATATAGAACGACAAATTATGTGTTTTTCTTCTCTCTCCCTTTCCCTTGCTCCTCCCTCTCCCTCTCCCTCTCCCAGTCTCTCTCCTTCCCTCCTTCTCTTCCACCCTCTGTCTCTAAAAATCTATAAGTAAAAGAAATCTGTTGAAGTGGTTTTAGTCTAGCTCTGTCTTAAATTATTATAGTCCTTTCTGGTTTTGTTCATTTTGTAGGAATGTGTGCAAATATTTACTTAGTAAAGATACATTGTTCTAATTAGCAGCACTTAGCCAGGGAGCAGCATAAAACTGATTGTGCTGGCTGTGAAGAGATGATCTTGTATAATAAAAGGCTAATGTGCAAATTGTTCCCTCAACCGGGAGTTTGATCAGGGGATAGGGACGGCCAGCCAACCACCTGAGGCTCTTCCCTCTGGCCAGCCCAGCCCAGCCTGATTTTGGGGCAGGCCATCCAGACCTTACCTATGTACGAATTCTTGCACTGGGCCTCTACTAACAAATAAAATACATTCTTTTTCTAGTTGTGTAATTGAGCTCATTGTCTGAAACTGTATTTTTTTAAATCCAAGTTTATTATACATTGTCTTTTTTTTTTTTTACGTATAATTCAGTGTTGTTGAAATTCACACTGTGATATTATGTGAAATTGATTGCACCATTAGTATGGTCATTTCTTATTTCCTAAAATCATCAAATTACCTACAGAGTATTTATGTAATACAGAGTATAATTTTTTTGCTATGAGAAGGTCGGGAAAATAAGTGGTGAATGGATATGCGATCTCTAAGAAGTCATTATAGCTAATAAAATCTCATTTGATTGGCATGGCCTCACAATTTGATCCAGTGTAAATGAATTCAAAATGTTTCCTGGTACTAGAGTTTCCTGAACAACATTCCACTTACATTCTAGTAGAGAGAACAAGATAACAAACAAGTAAGTAGAAAAATATCTAGTAGTTGATAGAATGGGAGACACTGGAATGAGTTTGTATGCTGAAAGAAATGCTCCAGAAAATGGAAAAATTGTTGATGTGGGAGACAGTTCTTGGAAAGCTGGGAATAATGGGTTCCAGTTAATAAATGGAGGAACTGGCCATAAATAGTACTAGACACTTCATCCATTTTCATAGGAGAAAAAGCAGAGAATATATGTTCAGGTTTAATAGTGAAAGATGATGGAATCTGATTGCTTCCTTTTCTTTCCTTTTTTTTTTTTTAAGTGTGAGACAAGATCAGCTAAAAGTAAAGATGGAGGATGGACCTCAGAGGTTTGAGAAGAGGCTGAAGTGGTTAAAAAAATAGGAAAGCAATTATTAGGAAAATGTGGGGATTTTTAAGCACTACTGAGTGCCTGTTTGTTCTTGGCAGTATACACTGACTGGCCAGATTATTATGATCTCTGAACACATAATAATCTGGTCAGTCAGTGTATATCCTATATAAGAAAAGGCTAATATGCAAATTGTCCCCTCAACCAGGAGTTCAACCAGCATGCAGGTCAGCCAACCACCCATGTCCCCTCCCCCTGGCCAGGCTGGCCAGACCCCACCCATGTATGAATTCATGCACCAGGCCTCTAATACACACACACACACACACACACACACACACACACTCACACTCACACTCACACTCACACTCACACACTGAGTGGCCAGATTTTTATGCGTTCAGAGATCATAAGAATCTGGCCACTCAGTGTATGTTTAGTGTGTTTTTCAGTTACACCCTTGTCGGTTGAAGTTGACAGCAGGAAGTTGTCTCATTAGCTGATGTCGTGTAGGGGGAAAGATCTAGCCTAGTGACTGGCCCAGTGTGATTATTAAGCAGATATTAACCCCTTCTTCCTTAGCCCAGAGCCCTCCAAGAAGCCCTTAGGAAGAGAGAAGGCGAAGATAAGACTAGTGATTATACCAGGAAAATTGGTTAAATTTATAGTCATTTTAATTGCATTATGAATGTCGGTTGTTTTATAATAATTAACTATGTTTTCATTAGCAGTTCTTCTCAGGTAGGCTTATTTTCTCTTCTTTTTCTTCTCTTTCCCCTAGGGGATGAAGATGAATTGGCTCTGCTGACCTCACTCCTGGAAGAGAATGAGTCAGCCTTGGATTATCATTCAGAAGAGAGCCACCCTTCCACCCAGGATGATGGTAAACCTGATACATTTGATGAGCTCTTCGATGCTGACGGTGACGGTGAATCTTACACAGAGGAGGCTGATGATGGTGAAGTGGAAAAGACTCAAGACCAAAAAGAAAATTTGGCTACTCTCTTTGGAGATATGGAGGACTTATCAGATGAAGAAGTTCCTGTATTACAATCAATTGAAAACAAAGCCCTCCCTGCTCCTACTCCCAATCAAGGGAAAACTAACCAAGAGTTACAAGGTGCCCTAACTACTTGCTCTCTCTAGACTAGAAGACCACCAGTCTGACAGCTTTCATTAGGATAACTGTTGAGTCAAGAGAGGAGATAAATGACTTTGTAAAAACAATTGTCTGAATTAGTATATCAAACATTTAAGGCTAGCATTTCAGCACACAGAGTAAAGTGATAGCTAACCAGCAACGGTTATATGTATCAGGGACAGCCAGCTATAGTTGGTCCTTCACAGGGTGACTCTAACACTTTTTATACTTATTACGAAAAAATTACTTTGGAATTTATATGCAAATAGTGCAGAAACAATACTATAAAAGCTATTGCACATTCTATTTAAGCAGGAGACCATTTCTGAACAGAAGCTTAGAGGAGTGTACTTTTCTTATTCCTGGCATCTTCTCATATATTTTAAAATTATAATAAAATTTTGTGGTTGGCAGTTTCTTCTGATACAGGACCAAGCATTTGTTGTATTATGATATTCTGTGATATTAATGTTTTGATTCCTAAAGACTTAACTGTAGATAGGTATCTATGATATCTGTCAGTAGTATAAATTCATAAGTAGCTTTGGTATTAGAAGCTTCATTACTGGAAATAAGTTTATTTCTCTCAAGGAACCCCTTCAAAGTGTAAAAGTTAATTGAGTTCTTAGTATGTGATTATTATATTGTGGGTCTCGAGGTTTGGGAGGAAGATGGGTGGACACCAAAAATAATTCCAGCACTTTTGTCATGTATAATATTTCTTTTGGTTTGCTTCTTAAGTCATTATTTTTTCCCCCTAGATGAGTTAAGGAAGTTGCAAGAGCAAATGAAGTCCTTACAAGAGCAGCTAAAAATGGCAACAATTAAACAGCCTACAAGTCCAGCCTGTCCACAGAAATCTGGTAATCAGACTGTAATTCTAATAATAGTATGCATTTCTTATATTAAGAAATTATAGCATTTCTGCATCCAATTCCTGGTAAAACTGCTCCTGAGCCCCTTTCTAAACTTTCATTACTAATTTCTTTTACTTTTAATCAAGTAGAGAAGTCTCCACGCCCCCCTCTTAAGGAGAAGAAAGTTCGGAGAATTCAGGAGTCGACTTGCTTTTCTGCAGAGCTTGATGTCCCTCCTCTACCAAAAACCAAGAGAGTGGCTCGGACACCAAAAGTTTCACCTGCAGGTGAAGTACTTAAGGCCTCCTGGTTTCTCACTACTCCGATTCTGTTGAAAATACATTTTGACACTAGTGTGTGTGTCTGCTTCATCTGCCTCCTGAGAAAAGTTTCTTGGGAATTGGAACCATATGCTCTATTATGTACTATTTCTCCATATCTCAAAGTGCTTAGAAATTTTTTAGGTAGAGAGTAGGTATGTACTAAACACTTCCTGGGTTGAATTTTTTTTTTTTTTTTTAACTCTGTAGTCTTATAGTTGATAGTAAAAATTAACCACATGTTAGCAATCTAGAGATTTAATATTTTGACTTGTCAGATTGACTTGTCAAGTTCTATTATAAAGTAATCAGGTTTTATTTAAAGTTAGGTTGTATTAAATTAGAAGGTCCTTCTTTAGAAAAATTTTCTTTGCCAGTAGTTTGGAATAGTATTCAAATAAAAGCCTATTTCACCACACACATACATATATATATATATGCACACACACCAATAAAATGAAAGCAGTTTATAAGCTCTCTATTGATTTTGTATTGCCTCAGTTTGCCCAAAGTGATTATTTTTTGGAAGATAAAATGGCCTATAGATAACATAACTGAGAGAAAACAGTATTTTTTTTACTACAGGAGATTAAAAAGGCCCTTTTTGAATAGCATGGATACATGGGACAATAGTAGAGAATAGTTGCAGCCTCTGAGTGTTCATATTTATTTGAAAACAAATTTATACTTTATATATCTACTTATGAGTAGTGTCCATCCCTTTAGGACCTTTGGCATTACTAAGGTATTTCATTAGGTAGCTAATGAATTCAGTTTTGAGGGGTGGGACATGGACATGGTTTCTAGAGATTTTAAAGTTCAGGGTTGCCCTGGCCCTGGTTTGGAAGCAGTGATCCAAAGTTTCTCTGAGTGTAAATAAAAATCTGGTTAAAGAAGTGATATTTTATTAAGGAAAAAATTCAAACTTTCTGACCTTCGGGAGCACTATAAAATGCTTCTAAAATAGGAAAAGTAGCCTTGTCAGTAGAATACTTTGATCTTCCACAATTCCCCTTACCCCATGAACAAAATTGAATGGATTGAAATGAAATGAAACAAACAAGGAAAGAGAACTTTGGGTTTTCTTCAGGTGGAATTTGATCTGTGCACAAATACCCACTAATTATGGAATTCTGTAGGAGGGCTCTTGCTCCCTCATAAAATCTACCACAGTGCTCCATATGTGGTGAATACTCAATAAATGTCTTTGTAGAAGAAAGGTGTTTTGGGTTTGTGTATATATATATTAATTATATATTAATTTGTGTGTGTGTGTGTGTATGTATATATGTATATATGTGTTATATCAATTTCAGAGAGTAAAGGAGAGGAGAGACATAGAAACATCAATGATGAAAGAGAATCATTGTTTGGCTGCCTCCTGCACAATCCATAACAGGGATCAAGTCTGCAAGCTAGGCATGTGTCCTGACCAGGAATCAAACTAACCTCCTGGTTCATAGATCAATGCTTAACAACTGAGCCACACTGGCCAGGTCAGGAACAGTGTTTGGGAATTGGCACTATCTAATATAGCAGTCACTAGCTACGTGTCACTATTTAAATTTAAATTTTATTAAATTAAGTTAGACATTCATTTCCTTAGAAATAACAATTATAAGTAATCATTGGCTGCCATATTGGACAGCACCAGTATCAAACATTTTCATCATTACAGAGATTTGAGGGTGGTACAGAAATGATCTTGTAGGCTTCCTTTGTTCTCAATATTTGATTATTGTATGGTGGATAAGAAAAAGAACAACTCTTAAAAATGTTGTAATTATCAGTGTGGTTTTCTTTTCACTTAATTTTTATGTTAATTTTCTAGAGCCCAAAAGCTCACCTTCAAAGATGATATGTGCACCTTCCCTGCCACTTCGAATGACTCCTGGGAACAAACCTAGTTGGATGACTAGAGATCAGGGTGTGGGGGCCGCCAGGAATTCTGGGGACATAACTCAGCCAGTCTCTGTGGAAGCCTTCTCTGGCCTGAGGCTCAGGTCAGTAACTGACAGTCCCTCACTGATCACATGCCCCGCCAGATACCTTGTCCTCCTGCCTGAGAGCTGAGCCTTTTAGAAATAGTGTGTTTGTACAGATTTACATAAAACCAATAACTCAGGAACATGACAAAACTTGGCATTGAACACTGGTTGTGATTGAGTACACTTGCATATGAAGTATTTAAGGGAAACCTTTGTTTGAATGGATGGATAGATGTGAAATTATATTTAATCAAACTGACAGAAAGAAGCCGTGATAGAGACTATTTTTAAATACATAAAGAAACATACAATTTAACCAGGATAATAGTATCTTGTAATTGATGTTAAGAAAATAGCTGTGCTCTTTTTTTTCCTAATAACTTTTAAGGTAAATTTATATTCTTTGCATCTGTTATGTGGAAAAACTAAGATATTCAATTAAAATAGGATTAAATCCCAGGATTAAAAAAATAAAATTAAATAAAAAAATAAATCCCAGGATTCACTACTAGAAGCCCGGTGCACAGATTCATGCACTGTCAGGGTCCTTTGGCCTGGCCTGCTCCTTTTCAGAATCCAGGACTCCTGGGGGGATGTCAGACTGCTGGTTTCAGCCCAATCCCCACATGCCAGGCTGAGGGACTCCTACTTGTGCACCGGGGGCCACTAATATGCATATAAGATCTTTGGTTAATCTCTTCCTGCCCTACTGCCCCCACTTCCCTCTGAGATTCATCAGTCTGTTCCATGTTTCCATGCCTGTGCATTGAGCATCTGCCCCCTGGTGGTCAGTGAGCGTCATAGCTACTGATCATAAGTTCAGTCACTTAGATATATATAGATATATAGATATAGTTATAGATATATAGACTAGGGGCCCAGTGCACAAATTTGTGCACCTTGAAAGGAACTGTGGGCCGTGAGACTGCGGTGGGCACAGGGGCAGGTCTTGACCCATTCTTTGCTCCTGCCCAGCCCCTTCCACTGTGGTCCCAGATTCCCTATCTGCTGGCAGCCATGCTCCTGCCGCCGCCTCTCCCATGTGCTGATGGCTATGGCCCCGCTCGCAACCGCTGACAGCATGGAGCTATTGGGGCTGATGCCAGCAGCAGGTGCAAGTGGGGCCAGCACTTGCAGTGGGTGCGAGTGGTGACCCCTCGAGTACTGGGTGGGACCATGGCATGAGGGAGCAAAGAATTTTTAGTAGCCACCAGAGGCTCGCCCCGGTGACAGCAACTGGCACCTTGGTCTGGTGCTCACCTGCTTCACCATCCCACCGTGATCAACACCTGCCAGGTGTGCCCCCTGGCAGTCAGCGCACGTCATAGCAACCAGTTGTTCAGTTGTTCTGCCATTTGGACTATTTGCATATTAGGGTTTTATATATATATAGATGGTCTACTAATTGCTGATTTCTTGATGCAGACGGCCTCGGGTGTCCTCTACAGAAATGAACAAGAAAATGACAGGTCGAAAACTGATCAGACTGTCTCAGCTTAAGGAAAAGATGGCAAGTGAAAAGCTAGAAGAAGTAGACTGGGTAACATTCGGGGTTATATTGAAGAAAGTCACTCCACAGAGCTCTAACAGTGTGAGCCATTTTATTTTATTATCATTACTATTATTATTATTATTTCCCCCATTTCTCTCCTTTTTTACTCCCTTCCACCCTGCCTGCACTGCACTATTGTCTGTATCCTGGGTTTTGCATATATGTGTTTTTGGATTAATCTTTTTCCATCTCCCTGACCCCTCTCCCCTCAGATCTGTCATTCCATTCCATGCTTTCATACTTCTGGACCTATCTTGTTTATCAGTTAATTTTGTTCATTAGATTCCACATAAGTGAGATCATGGGGTATATGTCTTTCTCTGACTAGCTTATTTCACTTAGCATAACACTCTCCAGGTCCAACCATGCTGTTGCATAGGATAAGAGACCCTTATTCTTACAGCCACATAGTATTCCATTGTGTAAAGGTCTCATGGCTATTTTATCTACTCATCTTTTGATGGGCACTAGGGCTATTTCCAGATTATAGGTATTTTAAATAACACTGCTGTGAACATAGGGTGCATATATCTTTCTAATTGGTGTTTTGGGATTCTTAGGATATATTCCCAGAAGTGGGATCACTGGGTCAAATGGCAGTTCCATTTTTAATATTTTTAAAATACTCCACACTGTTTTCCAAGTGCCTGCACCAGTCTGCATTTCCCATCAGCAGTGCATAGGGTTCCTTTTTCTCCACATCCTTTTCAGCACTTGTTTGTTGATTTCCTGATGGTAGCAATTTTGGCAGGTGTGAGGTGATATCTTATTGTAGTTTTAATTTAATTAATCCGTGATAAGGTTACCAAATATATATCAGTATGGTATGCACATGAGTGTGTGTGTTTGAATGTTCAAGTGAGAGAGATTAGAAAGGCAGTGCTGCTATCCCATTGACTACTTAGACCTGAGAATTAGAGACTCTAGTAACAAGTTTGCTACTGGCTTGCCTTAACTTTACCTTCATCTCTAAAATGAAGGGTAGTACTAACGCCTAGAGAAAGGATTAATTTATAATTAACAGAAATTCTGATGATTATATATTCAGGGTAGATTATAGTTATGTATTTTTTCACAATAAAGCACTTGAACCGTAAATGGAGACAGTCTACCCCATTATTAACAAAATAATTAAAATTAAGAATAAATATTTGTTCCAGGGGAAAACATTTAGCATCTGGCGACTAAATGATCTTCGTGACCTGACACGGTATGTGTCATTGTTCTTATTTGGAGAAGTTCACAGAGAACTCTGGAAGACTGAACAGGGTACGGTCATAGGGCTACTCAACGCTAACCCCATGAAGCCCAAGGATGGTTCAGAAGAGGTGAGAATCTGTTTCTGTGATTATTGAGGGAAATGCCTTTGCATCTTAGTCAAATTCTGTCAACAAGATTTGTAGTGGTCTACTTTCAGATAATAAATCATGCTTTTGAAGTATTATCTCTATGAATCTGTTTTTTTGCTTGCTTGTTCATTTCCTCGCCACCAGTATTCTGAATGTTCCCCCTGCTCTAAATTGTTTTGTATCAACTTCTTTCATTATATCTTTTTTAATTAATTCCAAAGTTCCTGGAGTTTTTTGAACTCGTAGCTCAGGTCTCCTTTAACTCTCCTTCATAAATTTCCATGGTATATCAAGATGGCAAGGTCTTACAGTTTGATAGTTGAGAGGACTTTGCTCCATTGATTAGTACAGCCATAGTTGCAACTTAGAATCATAGTTAATTTTTATCTTCTTAACCATCATTAGAGTTTTGGTACTACCCACTGATTCTCTAGTAAATTATAAACCTTAATATGGTGTGAATGGGGACATACCATTTCTTCATCTGACCCATCAAGAAGCTACACTGTAAAGTTTATTGTAGACAGTTTATTATTATCAGGAGTAGTGAGAGACAGTTTTTCATTTCTTATGAAATGAAAAACTGCTATTCACCAGAGAATAGCAACAAATCTCCACCTATTGGTTCCAATGTGTTTGGCTACAAGTAACAGGAAAACTTCAGTATAATTTCTTTTTACAGTAAACAGTGGGGTTTGTTTTTCTCAAATAAGTAAAAAATAAATAAATAAACCTAGACAGAGGCACTGTAGTGATATCAGGACCACAGTCTGCCAGTCTCTCAGCCTTTTCCTCTTGGTCACAAGATGGCTTTGAAGCTCTTGCCATCACCTTTCCATTCAAGGCAGGAACTGAGCCAACCTCCTCTGTCGGCTTTTATCAGTAAAACAAAAGCTTCCCCAATAGCTTCTGTACCAATCCCAGCTTTGGTCTTGTTGGTTGGAAAGAATATAGTCACATGACCATTGCTATATGTAAGGAATGTTGGGAAAACTGGACATAGGATTCATTATGCTCAGCCTTTGCCAACCAAAATAAAATCAAGATTTTAATAGCAAAGACACAGGAAAGGATGGATATTGATAGAGAGCTAAATATGTCTTCTACATCTCCCATTTCTAAAACTATTTTATAGGGCACTGACTTCAAATCCCTTGAGACTGACTTCTTAACTCACACCAACCATTCTTTTATCCATTCTACGTGATAAAAGATCATATTTTCAACTGCTTTTAACTCCCATTCCACTTCTTTTCTACAGGTGTGCTTATCTATTGATCATCCTCAAAAGATCTTAATTATGGGTGAAGCTCTTGACCTGGGAACCTGTAAAGCAAAGAAGAAGAATGGAGAACCATGTACACAGACTGTTAATTTGGTTGGTTTCAGCCTTGTTCGGATGTTTTCTATTAAAGAGAGGAATTCATAGGAATAAATTATAGGTACTTTAGTGGTGACAACCACTCTGGAACTGAGTTTCCTACATAACAGGAAGCATCAAAGTGAGAAAATTGAACATGTGGTTAATAATTGCCAATTTGAAAAGCTGAGAGTAGGAAAGGATTTCACCTCTTAGGAAAGTGATATTTTATTGCCAGCTGAGTAGGAGGTATAAGAAATAGAATTTTAGTTCACCCCCAATTCTAAACTTACAGTATTCTTTAATCCATTTGTAGAGCCAGAGATCAAACACTATGATATAATACACTGTACACCTTAGTTTAGTCCATGCTGACTATACCTTTTCTTAGAATTTAAAAAAATAACTTCATTGAGATACAATTCACCTACCATACAATTCAATTTTTAAAAGTTTCCAATTTAATTATTTTTAATGTATTCAGAGTTGTGCAACCTTCATCACTATGTAATTTCAGAACATTTTCAATTAACCCCTCTTCCCCCCCCCCAAAAAAAAAACCCATATCCATTAGCAGCCACTCCCCATTCTCTTCATCCAGCCCCTGGTAAGCTCTAATCTACCCTCTATCTCTTTGAATTTGCCTGTTCTGGACATTTCATATAGTGCAGCGATTTTCAACCTTTTTTATCTCATGGCACATAAACTAATTACTAAAATTCTACGGCACACCAGAAAATATATTTTTTTCTCAATCTTAAAAAGAAGAAAGGTATAATTTTGATTAATTCATACCTGATAGTTATAATTACGTTGGCTGGTGTCTTTTTCTCTTATTTTTTTTTTTAAATTTATTGGGATGACATTGGTTAATATAGTTTTAAATGTACAATTCTGTAGTATATCATCTGTATATTGCACTGTGTGTTCACCACCCCAAGTCAAGTTTCCTTCCATCACCATTTATCCCACCTTACCCTCTTCTACCTTTCCCAAGCTCCCCATTGCTTCTGGTAATCACCACACTATTCTTCGTATCCATGAGGTTTTTTGTGTGTTTTTTTTCCTTTTCTTTTTTGCTCAGTCCCTCCACCACCAACTCCAGCCTCCCAAATCCCTATCCTGCCCTTCCCCCAACAGCTGTCAGCCTGCCCTCCATCTATTTCTTAGTTCATCCTGGTAGATTCCACATATGAGTGAGATCATATGGTACATGTCTTTCTCTGACTGGCTTATTTCATTTAGCATAATGCTCTGCAGGTCCATCCTTGCTGTTGCAAGTCATTTTTTAGTTTGACAGTTGAAGAGAAAAGATTACAGTGCCCTTGACTAAATTGTCAGGTATTGCATGTTTTAAAATTCTGTGGCACACTGGTTGACTGATATAGTGGAATTGGGCACATGGCCTTTTGTGGCTTCATTCACTTGGCATAATGTTTTCAAGATTCATTCATGATGTACAATTCATTAGCCCTTCAGTCCTTTTTATGGTTGAATGCATTGTTTGGACATACCACATGTATTCATCAGTAAGTAGACATTTGGGTTGCTTCTACCTTTTGGTTATTATACATGATGCTGCCATAAACAGTCATATACAGGTTTTGTTGTATCGATGTATGTTTCAGTTCCCTTGGGTGTATACTAGGAGTGGAATTTCTAGGTTGTATGGTGACTCTGTTTAGGATTTTAAAGAACTGCCAGAGTGGTTCCCAAAGTGGCTTTTACATTCTCACCAGCAGTATACTTGCGTTGCAGCTTCTCCACATCCAGCCAACACTTGCTACTGTCTGTCTTTGATTACAGTCATCCTAGTGGGTATGAAGGGTATGTCAGAGCTCTTTGAAAGGATTAAAATGCCAGATTTTGGTTTCATCTCGGGTTTTTTCCTCATTCCTGCTTCACAGATGAACTAGTGAGCATTGTCACCATATCTAAGAGCTCACCCAGTAGAATAGTAGTATCCTGTTTCTCTTGTTCCTTTCACTGAAGGAACATTTGTCCAAGAGTCAACCAGAAAAATAGAGAAATCTCACTAGAAGCTGATTTTGTCTTATTTTTTAAATTAATTTTTATTGAGGTAAAATTCACATAACATACAATTAACCATTTTAAATGTACACTTCAGTGTTATTTAGTATATTCACTGTTTTATAACCACCAATTCTCTAGTTTCAAAACATTTTCATCACCCCATAAAAACATTTCTCGTACCTCTTACCTACATCTCCTGGTGATCTCTAACCTGCTTCCTGTTTCTGGATTTGCCTGCTCCAGATATGTGACATATAAGGAAGCATACAATATATTATGTGATCTTTTGTGTCTGACTTCTTTCACTTGGTGTTATTTTGATTGTAGACAGAGTGCAAAGGGAGTGAACTATATCACTTTTTTACCTACATAACTAGTGCTTTAATTAGAAATTAAGGGAACTTCTTTCCCCTGCTCATTTCATGGCTATACTTTGCAAATGGCCTTGGAGGTCAGTAGGGAGGGCTGTGCACACAGAATGGTGTCTCACAAAGCTGAGGAAAGGGACCCTGTGGGTGTATATTGTTTCCTGTCCTGTTCCCCTAATCCTGAGGCAGCCTCTCTTCTTTTTGCAGAAGGACTGCGAGTACTGTCAGTATCACATCCAGGCCCAGTATAAGAAGCTCAGTGCCAAGCGAGCTGACTTGCAGTCCACCTTCTCCGGAGGACGAATTCCAAAGAAGTTTGCTAGCAAAGGCATCGGTCTGAGAGAACGGCTGTGTCAGGATGGTTTTTACTATGGAGGGGTTTCTTCAGCATCATATGCCGCCTCAGTGTAAGACATTCTTGAGCTGCTTTTGAGACCAGGATCTTGCTTATCTGATAAGAATAAACCTAGTGATTGTACATTTCTGTAATGGTCCTAGAAGAGTTGTGCAGGTTTTATCTTTAATAGCTCACTGTCTAGAACCAGGTAGATGAGGGCCTCTTTTATTCCCAGGTAGAGAGAAAAGCCACAGAACAGGGAGAAATTGAGCCATATCACAGTGGTCTTTAACAAAAAGCCATGCTTCCTGTTTGGGTTCTAATGTGAATAGTGGAACTTTGTCAGGGGCCGATTATTTGATAGTTAAAAGACTGCTAATCATTGTGTTGACATCCTTTAAATCATTCCCCTTATTATGTATGATTAGAGTAAGGTTGCAAACCTCTTGAAATCCATATTCAATTCAGTGAATGAAAATGCAGCTTCACACAGGGGCACGGAAGGCAGGCGTTTGTGGCCTCTTTTCTGGGGATCAGCCTCTCCAGAGTCCCTGAGGTAGGTGATCGATGACCGTGTCCCTTATTGTGAAAACCACATCTGGGTACGTGATGTCTGGGGACTTGGCACAAGGGAGCTATAGTTGATCCAAGAACAAAGCGTAGATTTTTGTCCCATGTCCAACAGAAATTAGGCAAGAGGACTCTTACTTCCTGCCTATTTTGTAATATCAAAATCATTTTTAAATTAGAAATAATTTCTGTGATTTTTCCAAACTGCAAAAAAAGCAATAAACATTATTTTAAAATACATAGTATGTATGTATATGTTAGCTCCTAGTTATAGCTGCTTCTAGGTGGTTTTTCTTTTTCCGTATATATAAATTTTTAGTAATTTAAAATAAAATCATACTGTATCTATAGTTTACAATTTTTTTAACAAAATAATTAATGTTTTCTTTATGAAATATTTACTTGTGGCATTATTTTTAGTGGCTACATAGTATTCTTTTACATAATTCTGCAATAATTTAAACAATTTCTTATGGTTAAACCTTAATGGTGTTTCTGATTTTTAATGTTATAAAGCTTTTGTTAATATCCTGTTTTTTGCGTAGTCGTTAGTTATTTTATGATAAATTCCTAGATTTCTTAGTTAAAGTGTTGGCATATTTTTTATATCTTTTGTCAAATTTTCCTTCCACATGACCTCAAGCAAATTTGCAGGTTGCTGTTTTTCACATCTGTGATATAATGCTTTCACCAGTTATGCTGTAGGGTCATGATATTAAGAGTCTAGTTATGTGCTGTTTTGAGAAACTTTGACAGTTTGTAATATGCGTATTTCTGTGCCATCTTCATTTCATCAGAACACTGAAGTTCAGTGATTTTCCTTTACAGTGCAGCAGCTGGAGCTCCTAAAAAGAAGATTCAAACCACTCTGTCTAATCTGGTTGTGAAGGGCACAGATTTGATCATTCAGGAAACTCAACAAAAACTCGGTAACATTTTTTCTCATAACTACATTTCTTTCTATTGCTTAAATGTGTAGTCTTTACAATTAAAAGCGGTCACATTTTGTAATCTAAATTAGGAGTATACACTCCTCACTATCTTAGTAATATGGCCTAAGCTGAAGGAATCAAGTTTTGTTGGAAGCATCTTAAGAGAAAACAGCATATTCATCTTGGCTGTGTCTTAGCTTAGTATGCTTTTTAAAATTTCTTGATATATCTAGGTCTAACTCTTAATGTTCAGTATTAGAATCATTAGTATCGTGTTCCTGGTCAAACCCTTCTGTTATCTTTCATTAAAACAGGTCTATATCAGAAAATGCTGTCTTCTCTGTTCTTGGGGCTTTATTTATATAACATCAGTCAGGGCCTAGTGTGGACCCTTATCTATAGTGCATATTCCAGAAATAGTGTATGATGTGACCCCTCAGATATGAGTATTCTAATCATTACTCAAAATAAATTATATTTGCCATCCCCTTGTTCTAGACTGATTAGAGGTTAAGAATCCTTTTTTTCTCCTGGCATTCCATTTAATTCATTTAAAAATGACTAAGTTTGAAGGCAGAGTTTAAAAGTAATGTTGGCCTTGGCTGGTTTGGCTCAGTGGATAGAGCATCAGCCTGTGTTCGATTCCGGTCAAGGGCACATGCCTGGATTGTGGGCTCGATCCCCAATAGGGGCATGCAGGAGGCAGCCGATCAGTGATTCTCATCATTGATGTTTCAATCTCTCCCTTTTCTGAAATCAATAAAAATATACTTAAAACATTAAAAAATATATATATACAAGTAATGTAACATAAATGGAATGTTTAAATTTCAGATCCTCTAAAGCTGATGTTTGTATATTCCAGGAATAGCCCAGAAGAGCTTGTCTTGCTCCGAGGAATTCAGAGAATTGATGGATTTGCCCACATTTGGAGCCAGAAACTTGAAACAACATTTAGCCAAAGCCAAATCATCAGGTAGAGTCAGCTTGAACCTGCCTAGCATTCATATCTGAGTTCCTGCTGCCCCTCAGAATCCCCTCAATCTATGACTTGTGTTTTAGGGATCATGGGAAGCCCAAAACCTGCTTTCCGGTCTATCTCGGCATCAGCCCTCCTGAAGCAACAGAAGCAGCTTATGTTGGAGATGAGGAAAAAGAAATCAGAAGAAATCGAGAAACGGTAAGAGTAACATTTAATATCCCTTCTTGGATAACTCATTCAGGAATCCTCAAAATGTCTTCAGAGATTTCAAAAATATACTTTACATTTTGGATGGTTGGATATCTTTTTAACTTTTAAAAGTGTTAAAATAATTTTGACATAACCTAAATAGATAGCATTTAAAGTTATATATTTCTGACTTATGTTAGTAAATCCTGAGACTGAGTGATACAGGTTACAGTAATTAATATCATGTTCCTGGTCAAACCCTTCTGTTATCTTTCTGTGGAAAAGAAAGAAATGATATCTAAAAAGGGTCTGGGAAAGGGGAAAGTATGTATTGTCCTATTTGACTCTTGTTTCTTAGTTTGCCCCAATTAGGTTTTTAATTATAGGCTGAACAATGAGTAGATTTTACAGTTGTTGAGGTAAATGATAAAAATGAGGCATTGAAAATGAAGTCATTTTAGTGACAAAATAAAGTGGGCATGAATATGGAAGATAAATTAATCAAAGATCCTTTTTTTAAAAATAAATTTTTATTTTTCAATTACAGTTGACATATATTAGTTTCAAGTGTACAATCCAGTGTTTAAACATTATGTAACTTACTGATTATCCCAAAGATACTTTAGCTCAAATTATCTGAATAGTAATAAGAGCTATCACAGGTGCTTAACATGTACCTTGAGCACTGTGTTACAGTGTCTCATCTGTTCCTTACAATAATAGGTGATGTGCAGATGAGATATCTGTAGAGGTATTCATCATGTGTTAACAGATGACATAAGTGTGTGTGTGTGTGTGTGTGTGTGTGTGTGTGTGTGTGTGTGTGTAGTGTATATATGGACATAAAAATATATGTGGGGTTGTGGACCTTGTGGGAAATAAGAGAGCATCCATCAGTTTAAAGGCATTATAATTTTTAGTTTTTCAGAATTTAGCTGAACAAGTTAAACATAATCTTTGGGCATGATGTAATAGGCAGTTTGCTGACAAGGATGGAACTGCAGTAGTGACGATACTAACTGGTTTGGCTCAGTGGATAGAGCGTCGGCCTGTGGACTACAGGGTCCCAGGTTGAATTCCGGTCAAGGGCGGCATGTACCTTGGTTGCAGGCACATACCCAGCAGGGGATGTGCAAGAGGCAGCTGATTGATGTTTCTCTCTCCATCAATATTTCTAACTTTCTGTCCATCTCCCTTCCTCTCTGTAAAAAATCAATAATATAATGTACATGCCCTTGAGCGGAATCGAACCCAGGACCCTCCAGTCTGCAGGCCAACACTCTACCACTGAGCCAAACCGGTTTCGGCAATAAAATATATTTTTTAAAAAGAAAAGAATACTGGCCTGGGATTACCTTGTACTAATCCTGAGCCTGTCGCTGTGAGCAAATGGGTCTTGGACCTCAATTTCTTTATATATATGGTGAGAGGTTTGGACTAGATAACTTCTGATTTTTGTTTTTTAAATAGCTTTTAAAACTATGTAAAGTAGCCAAAACAGGTTGCGAGCACATCCCCGGTGGGGGGTGTGCAAGAGGCAACTGGTCGATGTTTCTCTCTCACCGACGTTTCTAGCTCTCTCTCTCCCTTCCTCCTCTGTAAAATATCAATAAAATATATATTTTTTTAAAAACCTGATAGTAATCAGTTCTAAATTGGTAAAACAATTAGAGCTTTTCAATGAAAAATCAACAACTGAGGAGTGAAGAGTTAATGAAATACATTCTTCTTAATAGCATGCTAATCTGAATTATTAACCAAGAAAGGGAAATTTTACTGACAATACTCATCAGCTGGTGGCCTCTCTGCAGTCTCTCAGTCTGTTACTTTGTGCTTGCAAAGTTTGTGATTGCATATTTCTTTAAAGATTTTTACAAAGCTCAAATGAGGTCTCGAGCCCAGCTGTGCCATCGTCTTCTCGACAGCCCCCTCCTCGGTCTCCACCAACAGGGGCTGAGTTCCCCAGGCTGGAAGCAACTCCATCCACACTGGTGCCCAAGCTGGGGCGAGGCATCTCAGAAGGAGATGACGTTCTCTTTTTTGGTGTGTCACCACCTCCAAAACCAAAACTGAGTACGTTAGCAGAAGCCAAAAAGGTAACTGGTATTTGTTTTCCTCAATGTTTGAATTTGCTTTTCATAGAAATGGCTGGAGTTTCTCACTTTATATATCTATGATCAGAAACAACAGCCACGCAATAGCTACTTATTGATCATGATTGTTAGAGTGAACGAAATTTTAAATGATAATGATGTCAACATAATGCCATTAATTTAGTCCAAAAAAATTAGCCATTATCTTAACACTTTTTTGTCAGGCTGACATAAATAGCCTACGTACTGTTTTATAATTGGAGACACTGGCATTAGGGAAAGAAATTCCTGAAATTATTGAGGCAAGATGGTAAAATAGTGGTTTAAAGAATCCTTTAAAAGAAATCTTACACAGAAGCCTAGTCTGTAGACATAATAACTGAGCTGCTCTGATTGAAGTAGGGGTGGGAGTGCTCAAAACCCCACTCCTCAGCACGTTCCACCACTCCCCTTCCTGAGTCACCCTGTCGTGAGTTGTCTTCTTTTTGCTGTAGTAGCAGCAATGACCACATGGAAGGCAAAGACGAGCTGTAAGCCAAAGCTCTACCTACAGTAATAATAATAACTGCATGTCTTCATCACTGTTACTGTCCCTGTGATAGATGTGCCAATGCTATTTTTTGTGTCCAAGTGTGTGTTTAACACATTTCATGCACACAACCCTCAAAGATAGGGAAGTGCTGTCATCCCTGTTTTAGAAACGTAGAAACTGAAACTGAACAATTACAATCCAGTAAGCGACTGAGCTGGAATTCTATCCTAATTCTGTCTGATTCTAAAACAAATTTCCAAAGTGTTTATGCGGTTTCTCTAGGTATCTAGAAGCCAATAGACTAGCTGATGAGTCTATATTTAAATAAGCTGAGACTTAATTTATTAAGTTATAAGACTTGTATCCCATGCTTTTAAATTTTAATAATGTTAAAAAATGAAGATATATTTTGCCAATTTATATTTGAGAGCTGCCAGAATTCATTGGTTAATAACTGGAAAGGGGTATGGAGCTACAAATGCTTATCTCATTGTTTAGATTTTTATCTCCCTCTCTTCTCTCTTTTCTAGTTAGCTGCTATAACCAAATTAAGGGCAAAAGGCCAAATTCTTTCAAAAACAGACCCAAACAGTATAAAAAAGAAGAGAAACTACTCCGAAGATGTCCTGGAAGTGAAGGCACGTGTAGAAAAGAATAGTACATTCTCTCCGCAAGGTACTGCAGATTTCAGAATTCGCAGTAAAAGAGAAGGAAGTGTTTAAGCCATAACCATCATTTCTGATAACAAGTTATTATTTTACTTCAGTTTACCTCTAAGTAGAATACCTAAATAGAATTTCCACAACTGGAACTGTTCGTTTTTTATAATCACATTAAATTGAAATTACGCACAATTTGAAAACTTGAATAAAGGATTACTCATTGGATCTTTGTATGTATAATATAAAGGTTTATTTTGAAAGAAGTAGAATTCCTTTGTTTAGAATTGCCCTATTTTTATTTTATTTTTAATCCTCATCCAAGGATATTTTTTCTATTGATTTTTAGATAGAGTGTAAGGGAGGGAAGAAGGTATGGAGAGAGAGAGAAACATAGATTGTTTGCCTCCCATACTCGATCAAGCTGCAACCAAGCTGTGTGCCCTTGACCAGAATCAAACCGGAGACAACTTCATTCTATAGGTGAGGGACACTCTATCCACTGAGCCAAACCTACTAGGGCTGCCCTGTTTTTATTTTAAAAACTGAAGTTGGCAATGTCATTTTTTTTTTTAATATATTTTATTGATTTGGTACAGAGAGGAAGGGAGAGAGATAGCCAGAAACATCGATGAGAGAGAGTCATCGATCAGTTGCCTCTTGCACACCCCCCACTGGGGATATGCTCGCAACCAAGGTACATGCTCCTGACCGAAATCGAACCCGGGACCCGTCAGTCCCCAAGCCGATGCTCTATCCATTGAGCCAAACTGGTCCCGGCAGCAACGTCATTTTATCATCAATGTCAGTGTACCTGTTTTAAGGTGAAAAATATTTTAATTCAGTGTTCAAATTTGCTGCCTCCCATATTCTAGTTTCTGCGTCTCAGCTCTTTTTAAGAGCCTTCCTTTGCTGGTAGCTAGTGGGTTGAATTAAGTTTGAAGGGATTGGTGGGCAGAGACAGAGAATGAAGGAAACTGAGTGGATGAGGCCCACTGTTTTATGACAGTAGGTGGGCTATACAAGCTGCTTTTTCTTTCTGCTCTAGATGAGGATGAATTAGAGCCTGCCAGGAAAAAAAGGAGAGAACAGCTTGCCTACCTGGAATCTGAAGAATTTCAGAAAATTCTAAAAGCAAAATCGAAGCACACAGAGATCCTAAAGGAGGTAAGAGTTCAAAAGATTAAAGATGGTAGAGCTGTCATTCAGACTCGCAGTGATTTGTTGTGGGACTAAGAATTTGTTTCTTTTACTTAACCATTATGTAGCTGCATGTCAGTTTGTGAACTTAACTTTTTTTTTTTTTTTAATAAATCACCATTATCTACTGTTTTCTGCCTTGCAATGTGAAAGGGATTTTTCCATTCCAATATTTTTATATTGGCATTTCAAATGCTCTAAACCAGCAGCTAACAACCCAACACTCCCAGTGCCCCTTTTTAACAATAAGTATTTTGTATTGTTCCCTTATTATCGTGAAATAACATTTATGATGTTATCACCTAACTCGTTGAATTTTATTGAAATGTTAATATCTTAAATGTAATCTAAAAAAGAAAAAGAGAAATGTTTATATTAAAAATATGTATTTTATTATGTAAGTACATGGACACAACATCCTAGAAAAAATATTGAAGTATGAAGTAGTGTGTTAGATTTATAAGTGTTGTAAATATTTGAGACAGATATTAAGGAAGACTCATAGAGATATGTTTTCTTAGTAACTTAAATACCATGGGCCTATTTCTTTCAAAATGTGACTTTTTAATGGTGAATGATCTTGGGAAACTTTGAAGACACCAATGTCCAGTTGTCCCTCCATATACATAAGAGTTGCCTAAATGCACTCTTAGAATATTCAGTGTATATTAAAACCATGCACACATATTGTAGCGTTTTATATAAAGCAGTTAGGTTCAATGGTGATAATCAGATTTTTTTATCCACATGTCCCAAAGAACATTCAGGAAAACCCTTTGTTGTATGAGGGACTGTTCTCTGCATTGTAGATGGCATAGCAATCTTGCCCCCTGCCAATAGCAAGGGTGGCATTACAGAGGTAGTAACAAAAAAGTGCTCCCACAAATTTTTTTTAAAATATATTTTATTGATTTTTACAGAGAGAAAGGGAGAGGGATAGAGAGCTAGTGTGCCAGAGGCAGCTGATCGATGAGAGAAAAACATCGATCAGCTGCCTCTGGCACACCCCTTATTGGGGATCAAGCCAGTAACCAAGGTCCATGCCTTGACAGGAATCGAACCCGAAACCCTCCTCAGTCTGCGGGCCGATGCTCTATCCCAGTGGTCAGTGAACTCATTAGTTAACAGAGCCAAATATCAACAGTACAACGATTGAAATTTCTTTTGAGAGCCAAATTTTTTAAACTTCTTCTAATGCCACTTCTTCAAAATATACTCGTCTAGGCCCTAGTATTTTGTGGAAGAGCCACACTCAAGGGGCCAAAGAGCCGCATGAGGTTCAGAGTCGCAGTCTGCTGACCACGGCTCTGTCCACTGAGCCAAACTGGTTAAGGCCCACAGATTTTCAAATGTCCTCTTGGGGGCACTAATCACCCCCATTTAGTGCCATTACTCTGAATGATCTGCCATTCTTTTGTTTAGCAAATGACTAATGAGAAGATTATATATCATATCTTTTTACTGGACTTGAAATCAGGAAAGATGCTCAAATGACTGGAACTGCACCAAAGACCCTGGGACTTTATGTCTTAGCTGCACTAACTCCAGACCTGTGACCACATTCTGCTATAAATATCTCACTGCCCTCATATCTCCTCCCTGCTATCCCAGACGGGAAGGATTGCTCCTACCAGTGCTTGGTCTGGAGAAGAGTATAGAATAGAATGGGCTGTCATTGCTGGGGAGGCATTGAGTATCTTCCATAGTTGGAGTCTGTATTGGGATAGTAGGACTAGTTCCCTCTGGTGCACACTTGACATGGCGACACTGTTAGTAATGGTAGTATTTTAAGTTTGTATTTAGTGTTTTAAAAATCATATGCTTGCTCTAGCTGGTTTGGCTTAGTGGATAGAGTGTCAACCTGTGGACTGCGGGGTTCTGGGTTTGATTCCGGTCAAGGGCACATGCCTGGGTTGCAGGCTTGATCCTCAGTAGGGGGTGTTCAGGAAGCATCCAACCAATAATTGTCTCTCATCGTTGATGTTTCTATCTCTCTCTCTCTCCCTCTCCCTTCCTCTCTGACATTAATAAAAATATATTTTCTTTAAAAATCACATGCTCTTGTACCCTTTTTTTTGCATATCAAGAACTTGTGTCTACTTATGATCATCTTTTGGTTGCATTTGCCAAGCTATTATCAAGTGGCCCTCATTGACAGGAAGTTTGTTTCATTCTATTATTGAACTGTTGTCCGAGTATATGTTGGATTTGATAAAGGTCTCCTGTATGCCTTGCCATTTCAGGCTGAGGCTGAGCTGCAAGAACTCTATTTTGAGCCACTGGTGAAAAAAGAACAAATGGAAGAAAAGATGAGAAACATCAAAGAAGTGAAATGTCGAGTGGTGACATGCAAGACGGTAAGTGCAGGAAGACAGTCTGACCGGGCCCTATTTTGTGCTGTTGTGACTCAGCGGAACATAGTGACCCTGGAAGGTGGGGCCATATCTTGTAACCAGAGTCTTACTTAAGCCATTTATTTACACTAAAAACAAAACTTATGACAGCTCAGGAGCTGGCTTTATGCCAACTGTCCAGTGAGCTCTGATAAGGGGGAGTGTTTGTTGTGAGGTTTTCCTCTCATTTGATCTCAGCTCCAGCATTTAATGTCTCTTCCCCTTTGTCCATTGGACGTAAGTTATTACGTCTTTCTCAAGTTTCCCATACATCCTCAGTTCACAGCTCCTGGAGCCTTGGTTGAACGATTTGATCTGGGATATCATGATATGTTGTCTCTTTTACTCAGGACTTAACCTACTAAATTGAATCCCAGGGTAGTGTGAATTGTATTATTGTCTATGTTTGCAGAATTTTTATCCTAAGTCTGAGAAAATAAATTCCCTATTCCTCAACATTAATGTAAAAATGACCCCCCACCCCCATCCTGGCCAGGTGGCTTAGTGGGTGAGAGCATTGTTCCATAAGCCAAGGTTGCAGAGTCAGTCCTCAATCAGGGCACATATAAGAATCAACCAAAGAATGCATGAATAGTTGGAACAACAAGTCAATGTTTCTCTTTCTTTCTCTCTCCCCAAAAAAATACACACCAAACAAAATTTTTTTTTTTTTTTTTTTTTTGTTAAACTGGCTACAAGCCCTGACCAGCTTGGCTCAGTGGATAGAACGTCAGCCTGTGGACTAAAAGGTTCAGGTTCCATTCTGGTCAAGGACATGTACCTTGATTGCAGGCACATTCCCAGTGGGGAGTGTGCAAACACACAAATGTATTACCATACAGTTCTGTAGGTCAGGCGTCTGTATGGATTTAAAAGGGCTAAAGTCCAGAGCTGTATTCATTTCTGGAGACTCTAGGGGAGAAACCATTTCCTCGCCTTTTGTGGCTGAGATCCCACCCATGTTCCTTGGTTTATGATAACCTTCCTATCTTAAAATCACCTAATAGGTGTGTACATCTTTGTGTGGGGTGAGCATTATTCTGCCTACAACAGCTGGCATATCACTTGCTCTGCACTGTTGTTGTTTTTCTTTTTCTTAGAAAGAGAGAGAGAAACATCAATCCGTTGCCTCCCATGCACACCCCAACCAGGGGTCAAACCTGCAACCTAGGACTATGGAGATGTGCCCTAACTAGGAATCGATCCTGCAACCTTCACGAGACCCCACTCCAACCAACTGAGCCAGGGCTGCTCTGCACTTGTTGAGGTTGACAAAGTCTGGAATTATTTATCTAGACTCAAGGTAATTAGCAGAAATTAACATTGTACTAACTTAGAATCTTTTTCGAGCTTCAGCCACCATTTCTTATTCTCTTCAGTCCTTTTGAGAATCAAAATTAAGTGAATTATCTAATATCTGTCTTGGTTTTGCTATTAAAAAAATAGGATTAATAAGCTTATATCCTTTCAGAGGCCTTGTCAGAGAAAGTGGACAAGCTGCTGACCCACTTTCTCAGTGGGCCCCATGCCTTAGTGTCCTGAAACCAGGGACTGCAGTGAGTCCAGGACAGCCCTGCCCAGGCTATTGCCTTAATGTCAGAGAAGATTATGGTGTATTTAGTGCTCTTGACGGCATGTGTTGGTTTTATGCAGTGTGCCTATACCCACTTCAAGCCTTTGGAGACCTGCATCAGTGAGCAACACGACTGCCATTGGCACGACGGCATCAAAAGGTTTTTCAAGTGTCCCTGTGGAAACAGATGCATCTCCCTGGACAGGCTCCCCAAAAAGCATTGCAGGTATGAGAACTGCCTGGAGTTTCTTGTCCCATCTGGACTTTTTGAATCCTTTTTTTCAATTCCCACATGATGCTGTCCCTTTGAAACACTGGACAATCCTTTGTGAGAGTCAAGCCTTATCTCCTTGCCTTCTTACAGCTCCTGCAGAGAAGGGATCCTGCCCTCTTCCCTGCTTTATCCCCAATACGCATTGCCTGACTCTAGTACAGCGGTCGCCAACTGGTGGTCCGTTAGGTCCGAAAGGTTGACGACCGCTGCTCTATGTAGGTCCTCAGAAACGTTTGTTGATTAAATAAATGAAATATGGATAAGGTGGGTTGGGGAATATGTGTGTTTGCTGAGGGCTAGGAGATGGGATTATTTCCCTCTACTCTTAAGGAGTTTTATTTTTATTTTCCAGGGGGACTTCAGATATAGATACAGCTATTGTGTTGAGTATTATTCACATAGAACACACTGTGAATCACAGCCCCCGGAGTCCAGGGTGGCTGATCACACGCAGCTTGTAGTACACCATCACTGGTCCATTTGGTGCTCTCCTTATGTATGTACCGTCACATGTGCTGCATAATCAATCGGGTATTAATCATGACATAGTATCTATCATAATGCTATAGCCATATCCTCCTGTGTTTGTGATGATGATGATTGTAAACAGACCTGCACTGCCAGTTATTTCCCTTAGTAGTCTTGCTCTAGCAGTCTTACTGTCCTTGATGATTGCCTTTTGGACTCAAGAGTTAGTAATCTTTAATTCCTAAATATGTAGGATTGATTTTATTGTCATTAATTTCTAACTTTATTACATGGTTCTTAAAAGACATAATTTGTATGATATTGATCCTTTGGAATTTGAGGCAATTTCGGGATCACCTTTAGTCTTCCCAAGTGTATCTCATACTACCTTTTTGTTTGCTTGTTTGTTTCTGAAACCCATGCTTCGCTCTCACTTCAGGTTACCCCAGGTCTGATTTGGGAGGAAGAGGACTTGAACTGAACTTCATATAGTTCATCACCTTGTCAGGATCTGATTTGTGAATTGTTCATTCTAGATAATGGTTTTAAGTACCTATGTATATATTACTTGACTTCTCCAAAATATTGTGACAACAATATTTGAACATCAAAATAAATTAACTCTGTTCATTAAGGATAAGCAGTTAAGTACAGCTCACAAATGGAAGCACACGATGCCTTTCTGGCCTCCAGGTAGCACTGTTATTTTTGTAAGAGTAGCTGCTTTCTCTGGTCTTCTCTGGTCAATTCTAGATGTAGAGCAGGAGCGGGCAGACACTTTCTGTAAAAGGCCAGATGGTAAATATATTACGCTTTGCAAAGAGGCCACATGGTCTGTTTCACAACTACTCAGCTTTGCTATTGTGGCTCTGTTCAAATCAAACTTTATTTATAAAAACAAGTACAGGCTGGATTTGGCCCATGGGTTGAAATTTTTTGCTGACCCCTGACTAGAACAGTGATTTTCTTTTTTTTTTCTTTTTTTTCTTTTTTTTTTTATATATTTTATTGATTTTGTACAGAGAGGAAGGGAGAGAGATAGAGAGTTAGAAACATTGATGAGAGAGAGTCATCAATCAGCTGCCTCTTGCACACCCCCTACTGGGGATATGCCCACAACCAAGGTACATGCCCTTGACCGGAATCGAACCCAGGACCCTTCAGTCCCCAAGCCGACGCTCTATCCATTGAGCCAAACCGGTCCCAGCGTGATTTTCTTTTTTTAGTAATACGAGTATCATCTAACTTTGTTTTGTATTGGTCTGAACCTATCAATAACCAATGTTGTGGCTGGATGTTCTTACTATGATTGCAAGATGCCCTTCAGCAGTAACCATCAGGGAACTCTGAAAAGATACAGGTTTATTACTTATGAGACCTAAATATTACACAGCACACCTGGGCCGCACAGCAAGGTCCTGTGGAAAGCTTGGAGACCGAGCACACTGGTCTGGGGTCCTGCTTTTATTGGGGTTAAGGTTGGGGCCTGGGGTTTCCAAGGCTCACTATTGGTGAATTTAAAACGTGAGGGGGAATTTAAAGCACAGGAAGAGAAACAAGTAGCCCAAATGGTCAGTTTTTTTTTTAATTAGATCTCTAAAACAAAGGAATATCAATGTGGGAAGGCAGGCAGCTAGGCTGGCAATGTGTTTGTTGAGTTAGCCATCTTTGAAGTAGTTGGCTTTTTGAAATAGCAATCAAAGCTTAAGTCAGGCACTTGTATTATAAAAAGAAAAGAAAAGACAAATGCCAGGGCTTCCTCTACAAAACTAGATAGGGAAGAAGAATGAGACAGATACGGCAGTCCCCGATGCTCCAGACCCAAGTGTAAGACATAGTTCTATGTTTTCTCTGTATTTCTTTTCTGTTCCTCTCTTTCTTTCCCAGAGTAAATTCTACAGAAGATAAACTTTCCCCATAGTAGTCACATTCCTTCTCAGGGTTGGGACTCATCCACCAAGTTAAAAAGGGAGAAAAGCATCTTTAGGCCACTTGAATAAATAGAGAGTGACCCTGTTTGTGTTATGAAAAAGGAGGAAAGATGATTCAGACCAGAAAAAGATTAATCCTATTATTATTATTATTATTATTATTATTATTATTATTGATTTCAGAGAGGAAGGGAGAGGGAGAGAGAAATAGAAACATTAATGATGAGAGAGAATCACTGATGGGCTGACTCCTGCACACCCCACATGGGATCAAGCCTATAACCCAGGCATGTACCCCGACTGGGAATCGAACCATGACTTCCTGGTTCATAGGTTGATGCTCAACCACTGAGCCATGCTGGCTGGGCAAGATTAATTTTTTTTTTTTTTTTTTTTTTTTTTATCACAGTCTTTTAGTTCCAGAAAAAGAGGTCAGGTAAGCCTTAGGCTAGCTTCCTAAATCCCAGTGTCATCTTAGTGATTGTCAGTAGGAATCAAGGTTGCATTCATCACCTACCATGTGCACAAGTCTGCCATTCTATCATTAGAAATTCCATTTCTGATGTATCTGGCTTATTACAGAGTTAAAGACCATTTCTGAAATCATTGGAGTGTGTATTGTCAGTACCATTTGACCATAGCCTCTAATATGAGTGTCACCTTGATCAGCTTCTGCTTGATGTGTACGTGTGTGGGTCCATATCTGACTGCTGAGTAAATCTCAACTTTTCTGTTTCAGTAATTGTGGCCTCTTCAAATGGGAGCGGGACAGAATGCTAAAGGTAGGTATGGCATTTATAAGATGACTGATTTTAGTGACCCATGCAAATGTTGCCCCATTTCTTATGAAACTATTTTCATTTTTCTAGGAAAAAACAGGTCCAAAAATAGGAGGAGAAACTCTGTTACCAAGAGGAGAAGAACATGCCAAATTCCTGAACAGCCTTAAATAGCCCTGACTTCTGACAGATGCCCACAACCTACATTGCTTCCTGTGGGTCTGGGAAAGCAAGGATTGGTTCTCTGTGGCCCAGGTTCCTGACTGACACAGTCGTGTTGGTTAAGCCTACAAGCTTTGCCTACATACTCCCCTTCATTGGGTTGATTGAACACCAAATTTAACATTAACCTGTAAGTGGAAAGTCAAGATATTTTTTATCTTCTGTGTTCTCAGTACTGATGGACACATTCATACAAATTCTTTGCCCAAAAACTGGAAGGTAAATTGAGATTCTGTGTTTCTTTATCTCTTGGGTTATAGAGTGTGCAGTATTACTTCTTTATCGCAATAAAGTTCTGTGTTTTTATTTAGACACAGAGGCGAAAGAATTAACTTAGCTTACCCCAGACAAGTCGCTTAAATTCTGGGCTTCAGTTTCCTTACCTGTAAAAGGAGGCAAGTTGGACTGACTGATCTTGAAATGTGTCTTTTAGCATTCATATTCTATAAATATCTTTTTTTCATCTAGATAATTATGATCATTGCCCTTGATACAGCAATATAGTTTTGATATACTGATATTATAAGCCAGGTTCTTTTTTGTTCTATTATCTCTGTTTTGGTTTTTTAGTTTGTTTGTTTTTAATTGATTTAAGTCACCGAACCTCAGGCATTTCAAGTTCTATCTGTTTGGCTCTCTGCCCTTACAATATTGTAGAGCTTTGAATGCAAATACCTAAAAATCTCATTTTAAAATACCATTTAAGGACCTTTTAACCAAACTTTTAACCAAAATGAATGCAACGTTTAAGAAACTAAAGCATGACTGAAAAACAGAAGCATTCCATAAAGAATGGAGTTTGGGATTTGCACATATATTTTATTATATACATCAAGAATTATAGTTCAAGCTCCGGCAAATTATCATCAGAAAATCCCATTTAGGAGATTTCTCTGCCTGTGCAACTTGGCTTTCCAAATACCATTTGACCCAAATGAATGCTAAAGATCAGGTAAATTGGTAGGATTACTGTATTGGGATTTGAGCTCTCGGTCAAAGTAGGTTAGGTTTTCCCAAGATGGTGGTATGGTAGGAACATGACAATTACAGGAGGTGTTTTGGGTATATAAGAGTAAAATAAAATTTACTTGCCTTAGATTTCATCAAACTCTGTGAGTAAAAGGTGCTGTGTCTACCTTTGGGATTCCCCTAAGGTCATGCCCTAATAACTGTATTTTTAGGAGTATTTTATTTCCAGAAGGTATTGGGTTTTCAGTTTTAACTGACAATAAAGTGCCTAATTCTTAATTAGAACTAAACCCATTTGAAACTGGTATTTTTAATGGCTCGCTTAGAGGAGATTATTTGTCCCATAAACTTAAAACAGAGCAATGTATTGAAGTAGGTCACAACTGAGCAGCTGCCTAGAACTTGAACTCCAGGTTGCTCGTTGAGAAATTCCCTTCCTATGTGAGAACATGTTCATGTTTGAAACAAGGGCATCTGAGTCCGTACTCACTTGAATCTTGTATGTGAGTAGTGTAATATTCTTATAAAGACAGATGAGCTGAATCTGATACTTTCCTTTTTTAAAGTTTGATTTTAAATATTTAAATGATTTTAAAATATAAATATGATTTAAAAATATAATAATGACTCCCTAGCTGGTTTGCTCAGTGGATAAAGCATCAGCCTGTGGACTGAAGGGTCTGGGGTTCAATTCCAGTCAAGGGCATATGCCCCAGTTGTGGGCTCAATCCCCAGTAGGGGGTATGCAAGAGGCAGCCTACCAATGATTTTCTCATTGATGTTTCTATCTCTCTTCTTCCTCTAATTGAATTGAATGACTACTCAGTTTATTCTAGATCTTGGGGAGTTTTCATTTGCAGTGTGTGTGTGTGCGCGCCGCGCGGACTGCCAGGGCGACTTGTTTGCATTGAAAATAAAATTAATCAGTGAGATCAGTCTTTTAATCCTACCCTCTTTATCAGCAGGTAATAAATGCTTTTATATAAAACCAAAGTGGTGTTTAATTTTTCTTGTCATTGGCAATGTAGGGCTTATTGTATATAATCATGGGCCATCTAAACATGTTCAGTATACAAAACTGGCTATGTCCTATATGGAGAATCATGGAGAATGTACTGACTTTCACGATAGATTATTTTTCTTTTGTGTCTTTTCCTGTTTGGAGGAAATAAGTGGCTTTTTAAAGAAAATCATCTTTTGAGTTTTGTAGAAATAAATGAAATACATTTTCTCTTCTGAACACAAAAGGATAACAGTGATATGGAATAGTAATGATTGGTGTGGAATCTGCCCCAAAGAGAACTGAAAACAGAAGTCTCAAATTTTAAAACTTTTCAGGTTTTCAACTTTTAAAATTATCACATGTTGGCTGATGTGTACAACAAAGTTTATAGTTTCTAACTTGGACTTTTGTGTAGAAATTGATGATACAAGTAAAGTTTGATGTTTATAATATTAGATTTGTGATAATGTTACTTTTTTAAAAATGAGAATATGCCTGTGTCACAGATAGCAGCCATCTATAAGTAATTCAGACATCTCTGATCTCATGAGTGGAGATTTGGAAACGATACCGCTCTCAAGAAGGATAGTTGGCTCAAAAAGTGAAATTCCTTATTTGCCATTATTGAAGAAAGAAGACAAGACACCTGAAGCACATAATACACAAAAAAGGAAGAAATCAGTTAATTCAAGTTGACAGCAGTTTGAAAAAGCTGCAGTACACTAGATAGCACTTTTCAGCACTATGCTTGGGGGCCATTTGAAACAGTAAAAGCACAGAAATGTGAGGAACATCACAAAAAGGATACTTGTTTCAGGTAGCTGAACAAGAATGACGCTTTGTTTGACCTCAGCTGGGATCGTGTATTAGGCAAGTCAAAATTCTTACTGTTCTGCACACATATGTGTCCATCAGCGACCACAAAAGCACCATAAGTACTGATTCTGGAGTTACAAATAAATGCAGCAATTAGGGAAGACCACAGATCATTAGGAGTGTCCCCATTTTGCAGATTAGGAAATTGGTTAAGTAATTTGAAAATTATGAGTAGAAACTAAGATTGGAACCAAGTTTATAGTAATGTTGCTCAAGCAAAGGCTTCTCTGTTGGTACTTTTTAAAATTAACTTTATTGAGGTCTGAATTTCATACAGTAAAAGGCATGCATCTTAAATGTATAGTTCAATAAATTTTGACAAATAGGTTTACCATGTAACCATTGCCATAAGCAAGATAGAAATTTCCATCACCCCAAAAGGTTGGCTCGTGCCACTTCCCAGTCCACACTCCATGTCCCTGGCCATCACTGGTCTGTTGTCATTATAATTTAGATCTGTCTTCTGGAGTTTCATATAAATTAAAATTATAGCTGACTTTTTGCACTTAGTATTTTTTAAATTGATTTCAGAGAGAGGGTTAGAAACAACAATGATGAAAAAGAATCATGGATCAGCTGCCTCCTGCATGCCTCCTACTGGGGTCGAGCCTGCGACCTGGGCATGTACCCTAACCAGGAATTGAACCATGACCTGGTTCACAACGATGCTCAACCGCTGCACCACCAGCCAGACTGGCATAGTATTTTTGAAGTACATCCACGTTCTCGAGTGTATCAGCAATTCGTCCTTTATTGTTGAGTGTTTCACTGTGGGTATGCCCCCCAGTGAATGTGTTCGGGTTGAGTTATTTCCCCCCTGGGGCAGGAATGATGAGTAAAGCTGAAGCCAATGTCTGGTCTTTCTGTGGCTGTTTTTCATTTCTCCTGTAAATAGGAGCGGGATTTCTGAGTCAGCTGCTAAGTGTATGTTTAGATTTGTAAGAAACTGGTAAACTATATTCCAAAGTAATTGTCCCATTTTTCATACCTACTGGTAATGTATGAGAGTTCCATTTCTCCACATTCTCACTGGTATTTCATAGGTATTTTAATTTTAAATATCCTGACAGGTGCATGGTAATTTGCAATTGTAATTTAATTTGCATTATTAGAGTGTGAAAATTAGTGAGAACTTCCCTAAATAATTTTCACTGTTGTTTTACACGTTAAATAAGTACTTTTGTCAGGCACTTCCCCTCAAACATTACCATTCCTATAGGAAGCTTTTTATCTGAGAAAGCTTTTTGTAAATTGCTTATATATAAATTAATTATACATATTTTTAATGGTAAAAAATTGTTTAATAGGTAAAGTAGGCATTATTGTCAAAAATGAATTTTGAAGTTTAAAAAATAAAAGTGGAAAAAGTATAGCTAGGCCGAGACCGATTTGGCTCAATGGATAGAGCGTCAGCTTGGGGACTGAAGGGCCCTGGGTCCGATTCCGGTCAAGGGCATGTACCTTGGTTGCGGGCATATCCTCAGTAGGGGATGTGCAGGAGGCAGCTGATCGATGACTCTCTCTCATTGATGTTTCTAACTCTCTATCTCTCTCCCTTCCTCTCTGTACAAAAATCAATAAAATATATATATATATATTTTTTTAAAGTATAGCTAGATACCTAGATGTGCACAGATCAACTTGAAGAATACTCAAGACTCAGGAATAACTAGTTTGGGAGACAGGAGAGACACTTCCTTTTCATCCTTTACATTTTTTTAAACTTTGTATACATTCAAAATATTTTTAATTAAAAAAAGTCGAAGTGTGGAAAGTGGACAAACCTTTAAAAAGTGTTAGAACAGTCCTAGCTAGTTTGGCTCAGTGGATAGAGAAGTATCCCAGGTTTGATTCCATCAAGGGCACATTCCCTGGGTTGCAGGCTTGATGCCCAGTAGGGGGTGAGCAGGAGGCAGCCTAAGAACATAAGATCACAGAGTGTAGCAGACACTCTGTGAACTAGATCCTCCATATTTAACCAATTTGCTTTGAGACAAATCCCTTAAGAATTTTCAAATTATGAAAGCCTTACCGAAGAATTAGAACATAGTTGGTTGAAATGAATTAGAAATTAACCCAACCAAATGAAACTGATAGAAAGTATATAACAAGTTTTTAAAATTTTTAAAGTAATTCAGGTTCACGAAAATGACCACATCCCCCAAAAATCTAAAGGCACGTGATCCAATCAGTTGCAGTATCTTCCCTGAAGTACACATACTAAAAAAAGAAGGTTGTGAATAAAAAATGAGTTTTCACCAGTCCAGCCTTTGAAGGTTTTGTTTCAGCCACTTAACCTGAAACCCTAAAGAACTAGGAGGTAGAATGTCCCAAAGACCAGATTTTGACAAGGCCAGTCTCTAAAATTATAGATCGCTCCATTACTAACTTCCTATTGAATGTGGCTGCCCGGATTCCAGGTCCTGTTACCTTTGGCATGCTTCCCCCTGCCCAGGAAATGACTGATTGGCTTTAGTGAAGGAATTCTGGGTGGAATTTGAAAACCCTGAAGTATAATAGGGTCCTTGTTAAGGACAGAGGTAAAATGAGGTAATAAAATTCTTATTTTTGCCAGAAATAAGGGGGCCCATTTGTGCCAGAGTTGTTTATCTAGAGCCAGCACTCCAAGTGTGGACATTAGAGAGACAAGGACAGGCTGTTTTGTTCTTTTAAATTGGCCCCACACCCAGACCATTCTTGGTTTTTGACATCTGTGTGTGCCTCCCCCACCTCCACCCCCGCCCCGCATGTTTCTTCCTGTGGCCAGGGCAGGCCTTTTGAGACACTGGCTGAGGGAACTGGACTGAGAATGCCTTAGCCATCATCCACCTGCTTGCTGGCCTTGCCAGAGGGCATGTGGATGTGCCAACGCTACCTACAACAGACCAGACTGGCTCCTGTTTCCTGGCGGAGGGGAGAGCAATGCTTTGCCTTCCTTTTATTGCCCAATGGGTGTGTGAAAACAGATACCCCCTCCTAAGTTGGGGTTACCAACCTACAGTGCTAACCATATAGAAGGTGATTTGGAAAATGCATAATCGCTTCATTACCAGAATGTTTTTAAAGGTTTTAAACAATCTTTAAAAATTACTTTAAAACACATGCATTTATTGCAAAGTATCCTGATCTAATAAATAGTCCCGCCTCTGGTGGTGGAGAATTATACCACAATGAGCAGCTTTTCCTCAAAGAAAAGTTGCCCCAAAATTCGCAGGAAGCTCGGCCTCTAAAGCAGGCTGGACTAGCAGGCTGTGGAGGAAGAGGGCCCAGGGGTGGGGACAGGGAGAGGTCCAAGGTGGATGCTTATTTTCCACTCAGGGTCTTCTTTATCCTCCCGAGGGCTGTGGCTCTGCAGAGACGCTGATGTGCATTATTCTGCATTCTTAGTGTGGAATTTCTGTTAGTGTGGAATTTCTGGAGGGAGTGGAGAGCAAGGACAGAAGTAGGAGAGATGCTGAGTCTGGCGCAGGAAAGCAGAGTGGTTGGGAGAGAAGGAAGGGGCCACTGCTAGCACTGAATGGTGTCCCCCTACCCCAAAGATTTGCTGAAGTCCTAACCTTTGGAACCTGTGAATGTGACCTTATTTGGAAATAAGAGTCCTTGAAGATATAATCAGTTTAAAATGAGGTTAGTAGGATGGACTCTTAATTCAATGACTGATGACTGATAAGACGATGAGAAACACAGAAAGAGAGAAGGTGATGCAAAGGCATGAGAGAAAAGAGAGCCCTGTGACAATGGAGGGATCTGCCTGAGCCAGGGAAGCGGGTTGCCAGGAGCTGGAGGAGGCTAGGAAGGACCCTCTTCGAGAGCCTTGTTAGCGAGTGTGGCTCAGTCAACACCTTGACTTCGGATTTCTAGCCTCTGGAACTGTGAGAGAATAAATGTGCATCGTTTTAAGCCACCCAGTTTATGGTACTTTGATATGGCAGCTCTAATAACTAATAAAGGCATTATGAAGAAAAAGCAGATGACACCAAAACTCAATTTTATCTGTTTTCTACTTTGGGTTACAACTGGCCTTGCTGTAACCCTGGCTTCTGATTGGTGCAATTAAAAAATCCACAGCGGGACCTACCTTAACACTCTTTTCAGAGAAGCACCTGGGCTCCGAGAATGGTTTTGCCAAAACAATTGTTTTTCGTGTGACTACTGAGACATGCTGAGGAAATAGTGAACAGAACTCCTGAGTTCAAGCTTTCAAACACCCAAGTCAGTGTGAGTAACTGTCACTCAGGGGTGGTACGTCACACCCCTCAGTTTGGGATTTGAGAAGATAACTCATGCCTGGCCAGCGTGGCTCCACTGGTTGAGTGTCTTCCACTGAAGGGTTGCCGGTTCAATTCCCGGTCCAGGCACTTGCTTGGGTCACAGGTCCAATCCGAGGAAGTGAAGCGGAGACAACCAATCGATGTTTCTCTCTCACACCATTCTCTTTCTCTCTCTCTCTCTCTCTCTCTCTCTCTCTCTCTCTCTAAGCATGAGAATTTAAAAAGAGAGAAGATAATCTATTGTTGACTCAGCATTTTTATTTGTAAGCTGTAAGCAAACATGTAATCGTCTCTCTTTACTGTGATTCTTTCGTTGTTCTATGGAATGAGACTCTTGCTTTGGGAATAATGGCTAAGCAGAGGAAACTGTAGGTTTGGTGCTAGGCAGCCCCATAGGCTCGCCTCAGAATTCATCTGCAAAGAAGTGAAAGCCAGGGCATTTTATCCATCAGAATGAAAGGCCTTATGTGTTTAAGGGCCTGTTTGTGTGGGAGAGAGCTGCTCCACACCTGGGGTGGAACACTGGGCGAGTACGTGCATTTCAAGCTCCATCTTCCAGGTTCACCAGGATGAGGTCAGATGTGGTGGCGGTTATAGAGATATGGTGGGTACAGGCCATCGTAATGCCACTGGCGCCACTGCTCAATAGCCTCCCGGTTTCTCTCTTCCTGTTCTGGGAGGAGAGATGGAATCATGTTAGGATAAAGAGGCCTCTGATCTGAAGGCAGTCACCAAGCTCTCTTGGAGCTGTCAACCCACACCTCCCACCCGCGGTGCCATGAACCATGTCACCTGTGTGCATTGGTGACAGACATCACAGGGTAGAGCTGGCAAGGCCTGGGAAACACCGAATCCAAAGGTCTTATTTTCCTAGACAGGTGAAGGTCACAGAGCTGGTTGCCAGGGGAGCTGAGACCAGGGTCTGGCTCTCCAGTTCAGTGCTCCCTGCACAGCCAGTGAATGGGGGGCGAGCCTTATGCAGAAACTGGCTCAAAGTTATGATATCTAAGACACAAAATGCAAAAGTAGCAAAATGGTAATAAAAATAGACTCTAAGCCATATCATTCCAAAAAATCGTCAATTTGGAATAATGGGATTATGAGTGATTGTTTTCTCCATACTGTTCTGTTTTCTAAGCTTTAAAAATAATGTCTTGAGCCCAGCCAGTGCAACTCAGTGGTGGAGTGTCAATTCAGGAAGGAGGTCACAGTTCAATTCCTGGTCAGGGCGCAAGCCTGGGTTGAAGCTGGATCCCCGGGGGGGAGGGGTCTGGCGTACAGAAGCAGCCAATCAATCATTTTCTCTCATCATTGATGTTTCTATCCCTTTCTCTCTCCAAAATCAATAAAAAAACATTTTTTGAATGTGAGATATATGTTTACATGTATGTATGTATATATTATTTGGGGATGAAAAGGATGACCTGATACGTGCTATAATATAAAGGAACCTTGAAATATGCTAAGTGAAATGTGCCAGTCACAAAAAAGACAAATATTGTGTAAGTCCACTTCTGTGAAATAGCTAGAAGAGGCACATTCAGAGACGGAACATGAACTGGCAGTCACCAGGCTGTGCCAATGGCTCTGCATAATGGGTACAGAGTTTCTGTTTGAGGTAATTAAAGGGTTTGGGAATAGTGACGGTTGTGCAACACTGTGAATGCACTAAATGCCACTGAATTGTGCACTTTAAATTCGTTAAGGTGACCAATTTTATGTTATATATATTTTATCACAATTTTTAAAAGTATTTTTGAAAAATGTTGTGAGGGTGGGAAGTCCTAAGGAAAGAAGGCAGTGTCGAGGGTCAGGAAGCCGTGCACCTGACTCAGGGCCCGTGCAGCGCCTCCCGTGGCACCGGGCTCCCAGCGTGTGGAGAGAGCCCTCAGCACCCGGGAGAGCCAGGCGGCCTCGGCACAGGGCCTCGTCACCCATGGGTGTTTGGGCCGTGTGGCTGCTGGGAATGTTTCCTTCCTATGTGAGCCCTTGGCGCCGAGACCAGTTTGGCTCAGTGGATAGAGCGTCGGCCTGCGGACTGAAAGGTCCCAGGTTCGATTCCGGTCAAGGGCATGTACCTTGGTTGTGGACACATCCCCAGAGGGGGTGTGCAGGAGGCAGCTGGTGGGTGTATCTCATCGATGTTTCTAGCTCTCTATCCCTCTCCCTTCCTCTCTGTGAAAAATCAATAAAATATTTAAAATAAATAAATACATGAGCCCTTGGTGCTAAAATTCCACTTGGGACTTGGCCCCCAGAGACAGACTTGAGGCTACAGGCAGGCCCAGACTGGATGTCAGCTTTCGGTGTTAGCTGTCAGTGTCCAGACCTTTCTCAGGCTGCGACGACCAGCCACACTTTGCCAATCTTGAGAGCATGATTCCCCCCAGACCCACATGCGGCTCTTGGGCTCCTTGAGTGTGGCTCTTCCACAAAATACCACGGCCTGGGCAAGTCTATTTTGAAGAAGCGGCGTTAGAAGAAGTTTAAGTTTAAAAAACTTGGCTCTTAAAAGATATTTCAATCGTTGCACTGTGGGTATATTTGGCTCTGTTGATTAATGAGTTTGCCAACCACTGCTGCAGACCATGCCAGACTCTTCTTAGACCATTTTACTTAGACAGAGGGCAGGGCCTCCCTGGTAAAGGCCGGGATCCTTTGTTAGGCAGAAGCCCCAGATGGCCTGACCGGCCTCGGCTCTGAAGGTGGAGCCCATGGGTGCCGCACGGTGTCTTGGGCCTGGAGCTCCAGAGGCAGGCCTGTTACTGCTGCCTGTGACGCCGGAGGTTTTGAGTAGAGGAGCCATGGCAGAGCTGAGCGAGGCGCTGAACTTTCCCGCCCATTTTCCCCAAACCGAACCGGGGCCTGGGTAGGTTGATAGGCCTGTGGGGCGGGGTTTTCAGGTCCTGAGGGAGGCCCTCGGACCCAGAAACCCCCCTCCAGACTGCCGCCTACAGCTCCTCCACTGGAAATCGGAATCCCCCTGGATCCCCAAGGGAATGCCTCAGCACTTGCTTTTATGAAGGGAGAGGGGGAACTGCTCTCTACTATTCTGAGAACCCGTGACTCTGTCAGATGAAGACAGCTAGCTGAAACCAGAGTCCTGGTGGGGGCGGGGGCGTGGAGACCTCAGGGAAGGGCTCTGGGGCGGGGGCGTGGAGACCTCAGGGAAGGGCTCCGAGCAGGCTTGGGTGCAGGTTTCCAGCAGCCTGGCCATTGTACATGACTCAGTGCTCCCGGCAGAGACCGGGAGGGGAGAAAAGTGCCTGCGGGGCCTACCCCACCTGTTTGCCTCCTTCATGTGGCTCTGGGGAGATCTCTCTGGACCCCTGGACCTCTCTGCTTTGCCTGTTTGCCTCCCTCATGCCGCTCTGGAGAGACCCTCTCTGGGCCTCTGCTTTGCCTCCTCACTCCATCCTCACGGCCAGTCCCTGCAGCGAATATCTCCAGACCTTACACAGTTGATTATCCTTCACTTACAACAACACGAGTTTGCTGGCTTGGTTCAGACCCCTCACCAGCAATGCCATCTTGGATAGTCATGTATCCCATCTCAGGATGAGGTTTGAAACTGTAAAATGGTGACTGCAAGGCCTCAGAGGCTGGTGGGGAGGATTGGGCGGTTCAGCCACTGCCTGATGGAGCAGGTGCTCAGCAATGACCGCGGCTGCACTGCCGGCCTGGAAGGCCTGTGCCTGCCCTGCGGTGTCTGCATCTTTGTGGTTAGGCCTGAGGTCCCTGGTCTTAGTCCACTCTGGCTTTTAGTGGAGGATTCGTCATCCCCAAGGTACCTGCCCTCTCATCCTAATTTCATCATGAAAAGGAAAACAGTGAATTCTTCTACGCCGATGCCAAGGATTTGGACTTGAAACATTTAAAAAGGCACAAAATAAAATGCCGTTATTCATGCTATGAGGGGGAAAAACAAAACCGCTGAAGGAATTTTGGAGGCCACATTCTCACTTTAAAATGCCTCTCCCCAAGCTGTCCTCCAAGGTAAACAGATGTGCTGGCCTCTGAGTTATGACACCCGAGTTGTTCCCGGAAAACTGGTTTGTGGGGATCCAAGCCCGACACCTGCTGCAGGCCTAGCCAGGTGCTGCTGCAGGGCAAAGGGCTTGGCCTGCAGCCCTCCGTATCTGTGATCCTGTCCTTTTCACTAGCGGGTGCCTAAGAGGGCGTTATCTCTCAGGCCCACCAGAGCAAACAAGCCAGGAGATGACAGCATCACAACGGAAACTGCTGACCTTCTCTAACAAAGGGGACCTAAACAGGGCCTATGTCTGAGCTCACATGCAGCCCAGAGCTTATTCATGAACATTGCAGTCTTGAAAGACCAAAGAGGATCATGCATGCACACACACACTGGCCTGCTGGACTGATCACTATTGAATGTACCAAAGAGACCTGACTGGTTTGGCTCAGTGGATAGAGCGTCAGCTTGGGGACTTAAGGGTCCCAGGTTCAATTCCGGTCAAGGGCATGTACCTTGGTTGCAGGCACATCCCCAGTGGGGGGCGTGCAGGAGGCAGCTGATTGATGTTTCTCTCTATCCTTCTCCCTTCCTCAGTGTAAAAAAATCAATAAAATATATTTTAAAATAAAAATAAATAAATGTACCAAAGGATTTTTACTTGAGGGTACTCGGTAGATCCAAGGTCAAATATTATACAACTCGGTAGAAGGCTATGTGGTTCAAAGCCAGAGCCTCCCTTTCCCTCACCCACACCCACCCCCAGCTGCCTCCCTGAGGCCTTGGTGAAAGCAGCATTTCCTCGGGGAAGCAGGAGCTCTGTCTGCCCAGAAGTTGAGGGCAGAAATGAGAGGTGCCAATTGCCTAGCAAGACACTAAGGCAAAGGTGAGGTAAGGGCACAGCAAACCACATGGAAGCATGCCGATGCCCAATGTTATGCGTGCATTGGAGCCTTCATGATACCTGTGGATGTTGGTGTTGGAGGTGGGAAAGGTAAAGGCAGGGCACCGGTTTACCTCCATCCGTCAGATAAGGTGCTGATCATAGTGAATACATAGAGGGAGGCCTTGGTTTTCCAGGATGGGAAGTTCCTAAAGCCATTACATTGATGTGAGTCTAAGACACTTAAAACTGAGTCTGAAAGCCTCCCAATCCAACCCTACCAGTGCCAAGTTCACCAACACAGAGGGCATAGCCCACCACAGGGATCCCCACGCAGGAGAAAATGCAGTTAGCCCCACTGTCCCTGAGACCATGATAACTGAGGGTGTGATCCTTTTCAGTCCCTTCTCAAGTTCTATGTCCATTTATGACCTTCTCCCTTCTTTTCAAGACCCCCGTAGACATGAAAGCAGAGCTTCCCTTCTCCTCTGAAATGTGGGGAGAAGTAGAGACAACTCGTGGTTTTCCAGCAAAGCCCCGCTTCCCTGGAGGCACTGGCTGAAGAGCTCTTACCATCGTTTTGCTCCTCCACAAAGTTCTCAAACTCGTTCCGTTGTTCCTCGTGATATTCCCTTCGTAGCTCATCAGCCCGCAGCTTCTGCCTGTTCTCCGCTGTGGAAGGGTAAGAGGTGAGAGTTGCCCCCAAGAATAGGGGTATCTGCCCACATTCAGGGGAATACCCATTACTGAGTTTGCCTGAGGAATGTAATCTGGTTGGGGAGGGCTTGCTTGGGAGGGTAAGGATGGGGGCTTCGTTGTACGCCTGAGAAAGACTTTCAAACTTGAAGGACTAGGAGGTCTTCTCATTGTGCCAATGCGAAGACTGAGACCCCAAAAGATGAAGCAATTTAGTTTCAATCATAAAATTAGTGGTAAATCCAGATATGTTACGCCTCTTAGAAACTAGAAGTCCAATAATCAGGAATTAATTATAGCCCAGTTGGTGTGGCTCCATGTTGAGTATCGACCTCTGAACCAGAAGGTAACAATTGAATTTCTGATCAGGGCACATGCCTGGGTTGCAGGCTTGATCCCCAGTAGGAGACATGCAAGAGGCAGCCAATCAATAATTTTTTCTCATGTTAGACCTCTCTCTCTCTCTCCCTTCCTCTCTCTGAAATAATATATATATATATATATATATATATATATATATATATATATATATATATATATATATATGAAATCCTACATAATAAAGAGGTAGTATGTAAACTGACCCTCACACCATAACACAACACAAGATGGTGACAGGCACAGCAGGGACAGGACAGTGCAGGCGAGGCCAGCAACTTCTGCCAGGGGTTCCTCAGCCCCACATGCACGCTACAGGGGGTGAAGCTTGGTGGCCGAGAAAGGGCATTGGGGCAGCACTCCAGTCTCGGGGTGTGCAGGCCACATAGGGTGGGACTTTGGGACTTGGGGCGGTCCCATGGTGCAGGGGGGCAGGGGAAGGTGGGGAGGAGTTCTGGGTCTTGCACAATTTCACATGACAGGTCACTAGTGAATTATAAGAGGGAGTCATCTAACTTAAAGTTCATTCCACATCCATTAATACCTTCAAGTTCATTCAACATCTTAGAACACCTATCATGGTCAGAATGTACGATACACCCTGGGGTTAAAGAGGCAAGTAAGAGAGATTCTGTCCCTCTACTAAGGAGCATTATGGCTGCTGATAGAAATGTAAGATGATCCCGATACTTATGCCCCTGGCAGTGCTAATTCCCACGCCTTGTGTAGGGCTGGTCTAGTGATTCGCTGCTAACAAACAGAATATGGTAAACGTTGTGGAATAGACTCTCCACATACGGGTAGATTACTAACAAGACTGTGGCTTCTGTCTTGGGTTGACAGTCCTCTTTCTCCGTTTTGCTCCACTCAGAGAAGCCAGCTACCATGCTGTAAGCTGTCTTGTGAAGAGGCCCACTCATGGCCAGACACTGGTGTTCCTGACCAACAGCAAGGACCTCAGGCTCACCAACAACCAGGTAAATGAGCTTGAAAAGGAATCTTCTCACAGATAACTGCAGCTGAGAAACCTGACCCGGAAGCTACCAGCTTATTAGCCCCAGATGTCTGACCCCAGCAAATGTGAGACAACAAACATTTTACGCTGCTAAATGTGGAAGTAATTTGTTCAAGCTGCTAGATTGGGGATTGTTGGTTACACAGCAATAGATAACTAATACAGGATGTGGGTGGTCAGTGAAACTTCCCGATGGAAACACTGACCGCAGGCATCCCTTATCGTGTAAGACAATGCATTCCAGTAGAGTTGGCTGTGAACCTTTTTATCAGGAATCCGAGCTCCACGTTACAAAATTGGAAGTACACTTCTACGGGTGGGAGAAATACACCCAGTAAAAGCTGAAAACTGTCACTGAGAGCACAGGAAGATGGTGATCATTCCTTGGCAATTGAACAATGAAACTCGCCAGCACTACCTTGAGCCCGAAGGGAATCCCACCTGAACGACCTCATCCGCCCTCATTAGCAGGTGCAGCTGTTTCTCACCTGCTGGAATTTAGTCGAAAAATAAAACCTCTACATTTTAGACCTAAAATAAATTAGATTCCAAGTTCATCCATTTCTGCCCTCAAATCTGCACAGTGACCTGTTTGGTGCGAGAGCTGTGGAAATGGAATGTGGCAATGATTTGAAGCGCTCTTGGTTTCAGGGCATTTCTTTCTCCCGGGCCTCATCTGGGACATCCACGGCAGCCGGAGGCTGTGTCTGGTGCAGGAGGAACTCTGCCTCAGAACGCTCATCCCTCCCCGGAGGTGAGGTGTGACTCCCCTCCCATCAAAGGGGGAGGCTGAGGTGGATGTGCAAGAAGAGGTGGGGGTTTATGATGGAAGCAGGAAAGCCATCGCTGTCCGCCCCACCCCCAGTACGGGGGGGGGGGGGGGAGGGTGGCGGGAAGGCTGGAGAAACAAGTAATATTTCTTTGTGATGGAAAGACCGGAAACCATCTCAAGTCCTTCTTGAAAGTAAGGAACTTACAAGAATAAGTAAATTAATTAAACACTAGTTATTTATATCAGGTTTATATTGTATAACTAACTCAGGTGAAAAACCAAGTTACTTGAACTGGTCTCAGTGCAGATTCCTTCGGTAAGTCCCATGTCTCCCCACACTGGTGCCTTTACTTACTTATTGCAGGAATCTTCACTTTGGCAGAGGAATTGGTACTCCAGTCCATCCCCATGCTTCACCTCTTGTCCCACATCCACACATTTCTTAGGAGGCAATTCACTCAGAGAGGTGAGGTGATTGAATCAAGGCCACACAGCTGGTCAAGCCAGGCTGGGACTGGGGCCTGAGCTCCAGGCACCCACACTCCACTACTGGACAGAACACACTGTGCGGGGTGGGGACCCTTACAACCCACCACAAGCTCCAACGACGCTACAGCTACCAGAAAGCTGCTGGGGTGGGGGTGGGGGTGGGGATGGGGTGAGGGTGGGGTGGGAGGCAGGGGTTTAGACTCTAAGCAGGTGCTTAATGAACCGTGCCACTTCCTAAAGAAGCTTTTTCCATCCCTGTGTACGCCAGAAAAGCAATGATCTTCCCAAGGGCTTTTTTGGAGGTGCCACGTTGGACCTTTGACTTACAATAAATAAAAACTAATTCTTGAAACAAGATGCTGTTTTCACACTGGGCATTGTGTACATACACTTTATCGGATTAGTTCCTCCTTTCACCCTAAAGTGACCTGCATGGTTAGAGGTGTAAGATGCCTGTCCCCTGGTTCCCAATTCAAGTTTATCACTTGCCTTTTACCCAACCCGAGACAGGGTTGGGCTCGGATCTCCTGTCCACCCACTGAAATTGACAAGGGACATGACATGAATTCAGGTGCACCCTATTATTCACCCGGCCACCCTGGGCTCCCCACCACCAGCACCCTGAGCTTCTGTTTGAGGTGAGGAACCTCTGGCTTAGCCATGAGCCTCATTGTTCTGCTCAGCTTCCAAGGATGGAACCTATTTGCCCTAAAATTCGCACCTGCTCCCTGCTGGGAGTCTGCCAGCGGTTGCTTCTCTGATTTCTATCAAGAACTGCCCAATCTCCACCAGTCTTTTCAGTGTTTCTTGACGTTTGCAAGCTTTTAAATCTCAACTTGTATGAGGCCTGGAAATTTTCCCAGTTTGGTTAATATTTATCCAGGTTTTCTTTTTTTAAAAAGGAATTTTATCTCCCAGCATTTTCCACTCTCCTCTTCCCCATCATTTGAAAACACTCCTGTTATTTTTACGGAGCAAGTTACTTTGCTGAGCGACACAAAGAGTTTATTCAGACACACACTTAAGAAATGAATCCAGCCCAGCCTGGACAGTCAGCACCCACAGCCCTTGGAAGAATCTAGTTCAAGGGCAGAAAACGCAAATGCCTTTGAGGTTCGACAGGTCATGGAAATGAGGGTCCCTGCTCGGCATGGGTTACCAGGGGCTACTTCAGGCTGAAAGGAGACATGCCTCTGAGCTCAAAAGCCTCCCAAATGCATTGGAAATTAAAACTAAAAAAACAAAACAAAAAACAAGCAAACAAAAAAAAACACTGCTGGCTGAACACCACACTTTCAGGGGCTTGTAAACAAGGAAACTTGGGCCCCGGGAGAGGAAGTGGCCAAGGCCACTTAGCAGTAAAGCTGTCACCAAACCCACAATCCTGGCTTGGAATACCATGTGCCCTCTCCCTGCTCACTATTGCTCTTGCATTTAGGGGCTCACTTTTCAGTACCCCGAAAAGCACACACTGAGATAGCGTCTCTGTCCCAATTCGAACGCAGATTTTCCCTTGTGTGGTTCTAACTTTCTGGAATTGGGATGTATCTCATCATCCTTTTGTTTCGCACCTGACAACAGTCAGTTGAAACAGATGTGACCTGCAGTCCAGGAGATGTGGGGTCTAACCAAGAGCTGCAGGCCTGTGATGCCCGGGGAGCTGGTCCCCACAGCCCAGCTGACCGGGAGCGAGAAGGAGCCAGAGGGGCCGGCAGAAGGCAGGTGGTCAGCATCCTTACCGGTGACCTCCTCTCGGGACTTGGGGGATCGCTTGCCACGCTTCTTGAGGAAATTTGAGGCGTCTGATTCCTGCACGAAAACCTTCTCTTCCATGCCTGGAACCCGGAGGAGGCCAGTCACAACCCGCAGGGCTCCCCAGGGCAACCGCAGGGGCTGGCCGCCGCCCTGCACCCCTGGGCGGCCCCGGCACTCACCTTTCCGGGCCTCTTGTCCAGGCCCCTGCCCGGTGCCCACGGATGCGCCGGTCCCCTCCCGCAGCACTGTGGGCACGAGCACACAGTGAGGGCAGCAGCACACCGGAGGGACCCTCACCCCCTCCAGGCAAGGCCAGCCCTTCCCAGGACAGTGGTTGCCAGGCCCCATGGGGGGTCCTGGGTCACACACACACCAGTCCCAAGACACCACCAAGCAAATGGTTTTCTCTGTGCTGTGTTGTGTCACACACACACACACACACACACACACACACACACACACACACACATCTTACAGATAAGCACCTGCATCTCTCTGGGCCAGCCACCTGCCACCCTCCCCCAACCCCAGTCCATCTGGGAGCCCCCCCTTACTCACTGCACAGGAGCATCGCGGCAGAGAAACAGGCGACAAGGAGCAGCTGTCTCCAGGCCATCTCTGGAGAGGATGAGGCTCCGTCTGGAACCACAGGGCAGGTGGAGAGGGTTCTGCAGACCGAGACCTCTGGGTCCTCACTTCTGTGTCAGACCTGCCGGGGAGAGGGAGGAGAGACTCCTGAGGCTGTGATGCCACTGAGGAGTGGGAGGGGTCTGGGTCATGGCTTCCATTGGCTGCTCCAGCCTGAGCACCGGAGATGTTTTTGGCACCTTGCAAACCTCACAGAAGCGGAGCCTGTCCTTGGGGCCTGAGCTGAGACAGTTTTGAAGTGGCCTTTCCAAGATCCGCGACCAAGGAGTTGCTGTTGGAATGCTCAGCCTCAGAGTCAGGATTCTAGAGACCAAGGGCAAGTTTAAAGTGCTCCTGCATCTGCTGCAGGGGAGGTGGGGACTGCAGCCTGTGGGAGAGACAAAACGGGGGATCCAGGGGGACTTCCACTCAGAAGTCAACCAAAGAGAAACCAGGAAGGCAGGAAGACTGCCCATCAGAGTGACATTTGCATGAACAGGTGGACCATCCTGATGGTCATCAGAGTACCCCTCACTTTGACACCCCAGCTGATGCTCACTGTCAAGCAAAGCAGGGAGCTTCAGTCCCATAGCTTTTCAAGACATTAAGGCAGAGAGGCAGTCAGCCTTCCTCTGTAGAGGGAGAGTCACCACGTAGACAGAGGCCCTCCCACTCCCACCCCTACCTGGGCATACCTCTGTGGAAGGAGACAAAGACAAAGCCCACGCAGGGGAGGAGATGAGCTCCAGAACTGGGGGTGCCAGTGGAATCAGAGCTCTATGGTAAGGTGACCAGACGTCCCACTTTTGGCGGGACAGTTCCAATTTTTAACAATTTTTAACAATTTGTCCCATGTCCCGCGGCGTTTTAAAAAAGTCCCGATTTTTGGAAAGATTCTTTTAAATCTTTTGCACTTTTTAAAAATGCCGTGGGACATGGGACAAATTGTTAAAAATTGGAACTGTCCCACCAAAAGTGGGACGTCTGGTCACCTTACTCGACGGGGTCACGGGAGCACAGTCCTTTGGAGATGTCATCTGTTATGAGCCACCCTCAGTTCTTTTTTACCAGCTGAAGGGTTGGTTTTGGCCTTGTTTAGAATTCCCCTAATGGTGCTCACCACTTGACTAGGACACAGCCGACACACCCACCCAAAACTCCCCTTGCATCAGGCTTGCATGGTAACGTCCCTGTGTACTTAGACCATTGGCCAGGAAAAGAATGTGAACGGCAGGAAAATACCGGTAACTGGCAGAGTAAACAAAATAAATGGGTTGGTTTCCAGTGGAGGAAAGTGCCGCAGACACCTGTCCAAGCCCCTGGGGGCTGGTAGCATACGCAGGGCTCCCCGTCCACAGGGCTGACCACCTATGGGGTGGGCTCTGCATGGTCCACCCAGGAGGGGCGGTGTGCCTGAGGACACGGCAAGGACTTATTTGTCAGATTGACTAGATGTCCCTGGGAGAGGGACGGGCCACAGGACAGAGTGATACTGACGGGACTCCTGGGTGAAAAAGGGGGTACGGGAAATACCTGTGACATCCTTGATGCCCTAATTCCTCTCGCTGTCTTTTTTAGTTCCATTTATTTCAATCACAGAGGAGCGATGCCGCTCTGAGGACCTGCAGGCAGTGCAGTATGCCAGTGCTCAGGCGCCACAGAGGGGCCGGAGGCAGGTGGGCCTGGGTCACAGAGATGAGTTTGGCCTCCCCCTTTGTGAGGCAGTGCGGTGTGACTATAAGCACAGACCCGGGGCCAGCTTCCCTGGGTTCAATCCTAGCTTTAGACTTAAGCAGCTGCTTGGCCTTGAGCAAGTCATTTTACCCCTCTCTGCCCCATTCTTTCCTCTCTCAATGGATTGATGTGAGCTTTCCAGTTAATGCATCCAAAATTCTTAGCTTTGTATACATGTTTGCTCTCATGATAATAATGACCATTGAATGATTCTGAACAAGGAAGCGACATGAAGTTTCTTTTACAAATACCACCTCCCAGCCATCTGGAGAATGAGAGAGATTAGACTCAAGTGGTGAGACTGAGAGGAGGCTTTTGCAATAGTACAGGTGAAAGATGAAATTGGCAAAAGGCAGGAGAAAGCGGGAATGGAGAGGAAAGAGCGTTTAAAAAGGTTGACAACTGATCATCTAGCAGTGTTTCCCAAAGTGTGGTATGCGTACCCCCAGAGGTACGGGAAGAGTTTGGTGGGGGTACGTGTTGCACCGGAGTTTGGTGGGGATATGCATTGCACCGTGCTTAGCTGCGCCTAATTCTACGTTCTCATGAGTACGAGGGGTACTCAGCGTTACGAAAATTATAGAAGGGGTACACATATGTCAAAAGTTTGGGAAACACTGATTGGAGGTGTGCATTTCAGATGGCTCCCGAGTTTCTAGTTTGGTGACTGGGTAGATGGGTGTGAGATCATTCAGTGAGGTGGAGAAAACAGAAAGAAGAGAAAGCTGAAACCTCACAGGACATGTCATTGGAAAAATGAAGCCTACAATACTTTAGGATTCAAACCAGGTCTTCTGAGGTCAAATCCAGGGCTCTTTTCATTTTCCCATAACCATAATTTTGTAACTATATCAAACCATCACCCATCAATTTTGAAGCTCTTTCATCACCACCAAAAGAAACTTCAAACCCATTAGCAGTCACTCCCCCTGCCCCCTCAACCCCCAAAGCCCTAGATTACCACTGATCTGCTTTCTATCTCTATGGATTTGCCTTTTCTAGACACACCATCTAAATGGAATCATACAACACGTGACCTGCTGTGACTGGCTTCTTTCATAACACTGTTCAGGGTTCCTCCATTTGATAATGTGTATCAATACCTCATTCCTTCTTACTGCTGAGTAATAGTCTACTGTGGAGATAGACCATATTTATCCATTCACCAGTTAAAGAACATCTGGGCTGTTTCTACCATTTGGTTATTATGAATAATGCTGTTCCGAACATTCCTGAGGAAGTTTTTGTGTAGACAGATGTTCTCCTTTCTGTTGGGTAGATACCTGAGAATGGAATTGTTGGGTCATGTTTAACTTTTTTGAGGAACTTTCACATTATATGTTAAATGTTCATTTACTTCTCTACCTCTTTTACTTCTGTGCGGTCTCTTTTAGAAGAAGTTTCTACCTTATTCATACCTGAAATGGTGTCTGGCACAAAATAGATACTCCATAAATGTTTGTTGATTTAATCGTTGAAAACACTCTTAGTTAAAGGCATTAAAAGGGAGCATTTGCCGAAGAGGTTTAGCTCAGTGGTAGAGCATCGGTCTGCGGACTGAAAGGTCCCAGGTTCGATTCCGGTCAAGGGCATGTACATTGGTTGCGGGCTCATCTCCAGTGGGGGTGTGCAAGAAGCAGCTGGCCGATGTTTCTCTCTCATCGACGTTTCTAGCTCTCTATCTCTCTCTCTTCCTCTCTGTTAAAAATCAATAAAATATATTATAAAAAAAAAAAGGGGAGCATTTATAAGTTCATTTCAATGGGCTATTCAGTAGAAGGTACCTGTACAGGGACTTCAGATGTCGAAGTTTGTGAATCATTAGGTTAAGGGTTCTCCTCAATCAGAAGTAATTCATTTATGAGCAAGACAGCCTTAACATTCTCTTCACCATGACTAAATTTAGACAGGTTTTTTTTCCCTGACAATGGCCCTGACCTTTCTTTATTTAGAGCATTTACTTTAGAAAATGGCAATTAAGTAATAACTTGCAATTATTCTGTCTTTTTGAAATACACTGAGTGGCCAGATTATTATGATCTCTGAATGCATAATAATCTGGCCACTCAGTGTATATCCTATATAATAAAAGGCTAATATGCAAATTGTCCCCTTGACCAGGAGTTCGACCAGCAGGCAGGCTGGCCAACCGCTCAAGTCCCCTCCCCCTGGCCAGGCTGGCCGGGCCTCACCCATGCAGGAATTCATGGCCTGAGCATGAATATATATACTGAGTGGACAGATTATTATGCATTCAGAGATCATAATGATCTGGCCACTCAGTGTGTATACAAATCTTCTCCCAGCTTCTTGCTAGTTTTGCAACCCAGGAAATTTATTTCCCAGGAACCTGGGAACCATCTTTTTGAAATGAAAACATTGGAGGCGACAACACCCCTTCCTTTCAGTCTCTGTAGAAGGGCACATGCCTGACTTTGGTGGGTTCCTTGCTTCAATTGTGAAGGCCAACTAGCAAGCACAGGTGTCCTGCTATTCCCCCACCCCAGCTCTTCTCTCTATTCTATTGAAATATTCTGGAATAAAGTCCTCCTTCCCTGTTTAACTTTGTCAGTGGAATTTTAACTCTGAAAAGGGCAGCATCTCAACATATCACCTGATCCATCATAATTGTAGGTGGAAATAATCTTTGGTGAGATGGTTTCTATGCAAGTGAGATCATCAGATGCCATAGCCCAACAGTAAGCTCTATCTCAAAATTTTACCTAATAAAAGAGAAACATGCAAATTAACTATCATTCTGCTACACCAACAGCCAATCAGAGTGAGTATTCAAATTAACCCAACAAAGATGGGGGTTAATTTGCATATACAGGTGAAGAGTGGTGTGAAGCCTGTTATGAAGGGATGGGGGCAGCAGAGGGAGCTATTGTAGTGGTGCTCCAGACAGAAGTGAGGTCTTTCTGGCTCCTGTTGGCCAGTAGGAATGGGGACGTGCTGGCTCCCGGGTAGCTGGGGGTGAAGCCAGGGGAAGGAATATCGTACAATAGGCCTCTAGTAAATATATAAAGGCCCATTGCCTATACCTAATGTTAAGACTGTAACATGTTGCTTTATTTCATTTTCTTTTCAATGGACTAATTATGCTCCTGAGCCCCACCCTGCACCACCGCCCATTTGATTGGGTGAATTAAAGATTGTTCCAAGAAGGAGTCTCAGGACCCTTGAAACCAGGGGATCCCCAGAACTCAGCCTCCTTAGGAGCCCCATGAAGAACATAGACGAACACCTTTCCTC